ATGACCGGAACGCTAGAACTGTATATTCGTCCTCTTCCTCTGTTAATTTTCCTAAGAAAAGAATATTATAACTATAAAATTGTAACGAACCAGATGGCTTTTGATTGTGACCTTAAAAAGTTTGTTTTGAATCAAAATATTTGGTATTATTTGTTCTTTAGATGAATATTTTAGTACTAAATGATCTGGAAAGTATTTTTTTGATATATGCTTAGGTATCTAAAGAAGAAGTAGTCATGAAGGCTCTTAGAAGTCCAACGTAGTGTGAGAATGCTAAGAAGTCAACAAACTGGCGGAAGGTATGAGATTCAGAAACAAATCAGTGGACACATAAAATCCCTCCCCAATGATTGGAATATTGGAATACTATCTCTAACCACAGATGAATTACGCTTCTAAATGCAGCTTATAAAATATTTTCCACAGTAGTGTCACCATATGGCACCATATGCAGAACGGATAGTAGGAAAATACCAGGCTGGTTTCAGAGGTGGTAAATAGACAATTCAGCAGACTATAAACCTGAAACAAATTTTAGAAAAACACTGGAATATGGCATAGATACTCATCGCATATTTGTAAACTACAAAGCAACCTACGACTCTGTAAATAGAATGGAAATGATCAAAGAGCAATGAAAGAGCTAGGAATACCAAATCAGTTCTCCTCAGACTCTATCTCCTGTATACTGTTTAATCTGGCTCTAAGAAAAGTAATACGTATGTTACAAATCAAAACCATTGGTTCAATATATAATAAATCACTGCAAGTCCGTGCCTATGCTGATGATATCAATATTGTTAGGAGAACGAAAAACGCTGTAAGAGAGGCGTATGTAGCATTAAAAGAATCGTCTACAAAAATAGGTTTAATAATATAAACCCAACAAAACGAAGTATATGAAAATAAGTTTGCAGCCACAAATCCTACGACCACTTGTTATAGAAAACGACGTCATCGAAGCAAATAACAAATTTGTATACCTGGGCGGTAATATACAGCGCTCCTTAACACTGAAAATAATACTACCGCAGAGATAAGAAAGTCAAGAGATGCCATGTTGGGCTCAATCTCCTCGTTAAACCACAATTATATCGAGAAATACAAAGATAAAACTCTACAAAATAATAATACGCCCAGTCCTATCATATGGTTCAGAGACCTGTACTCTTATATTAAGATAGGACGTCAGAGGTGGATAGAGCATGTAATGCGGATGGAACAAAATGAACCAGCTAGAAAAACACTCCTTCGTAGACCCATTGGTCAGAGAAGAAGGGGAAGACGCAGAACAAGGTTCCTTAATAACATTGATGAAGACATGAGAAATATGGGAATACGTGCATGGCGGAGGAAGGCGATGGATAGGTACGACTGGAAAGAAATTATTGAGGAGGCTAGAACTCACACAGGATCGTAAATCCAGAACCTGAATATTCAGGTATTTTGGATTCCAATTCTTAAGTGTAGTTAGAGAATTTGATAGTGTAGTAAGAGCATTCACGAAGTTTGTATTTAATTATTAATATCAATTCAGTAAATCAATTTGTCCCAGTAAATTCTCTTATCTTTAAAATACATACTTTTTTGTGTTTGCTATGGTTCATTATATTCCATGATATCATCTATATCCCGATTTTTGTATTTTTTTTAAATTATTGCATTTTTCACCTGCCCATTCCATTATTATAATCCTTTCCTACTGCTAGTTTTCTTTTTCTTGTCTAGGGTCACATAAGCTTCTTTTTCAATAATGTTTCTCAAATTCTCTCATTCATATCTGGTTTCGTAAATTATTGTTCCAGATAGTATTCGAATTATTCTAGCTTCTAGATAATGATGGGAATAAGTGTTATTTCCGCAGTATACTTGTTTCTTTACTCGACCACAAAAGTATTTTGATAATAATTCAAGCAAAATAATCAAACAATGCAATGAAGTGGTAATATATGATGTAGAATCTACATACATATGAGAAAAATCAAGAAGAAATGAGGATATTAGAATCTAGAATTTCCAAAAGCACATTTTGTCATTTTTATTAAAGACTCGCATAATATTGTCAATGCATAAATGGCCTTACCTCGTCCTCCACCTCTGGCACTTTCACATAAATGTGCACAAATGCAAACGCATACAAACACCACAAACTTCCTGCCTCTCATTGGTGCCAATTAAATGATAAAACAACGCGAGGAGACGGACCCTAAGACAACGCAAAAAATCCGATGATACTACGCTATGATAGAGCAGTTGATTCGAACGGTTTTAGTGTAGTCTTACAACCGAAAGGGGTCAACAATTGGTACTTTTGTTTTCTCTCCCATTAAATAATTAGGTGACCTCTTAAAAGGGGACAAGGATGATACGAGTTAAATTGTTGTTTATCTCGATATTTGCTTAGCAAATTGAAAAATTCGCTTATGGTTTTAATATGTTTGTTATCTACACTACCAATATAGGAAAGGGGGTAAAGGAGGGGAAAATGAGCCAATTTGTGCTTTAATTTTTACTTAAGTTGATTGTTGTGGACAATTCGCAATTTACAATTCATTCATAAATGTTAAATACCTACCAAACAATACAAAGATACCAGAAATAACGTAAATTCTAAGGCGATAAGCACCAAAAGAGACACCATTCATCATGCACGTTGAACACAAGCTTTGAATCTTCTTCTTAACGTGCCCTACAAGTCCACTTGACGTTGGCGATTAACATGCGAAACTGTCTCTATCTCGAGCTATTCTAAATATCTCAGCTTTTCTTATCCTGTCCACTCCCTGATATTCTTAAGCTATGAATATAAATGAATATCTTATATATAACCATCTAAAAAAAACGGAGAAACTCTAATTCAAAAAATAGAAAAGAAAATTGGAGCAACAGCCACCTCTAATAAAAAGTTATGTTTTTTTTCGAAAAAAAATGCATTTTAGGTTATGTAAACTCGGGTACTACGGGTCTATAAAAGAAAGATAAGTTTTTTAAAAGCCTCAACTATGCGTGTGAATTTTTTTTAAATTTTAAATTGATTCACCCCGTCTCAAAAAAGAATACAAACGAAAAATTGACGTTTTGGGTTGTAAGGGGTGGCGGGGTTTTTTTCACACATAACCTAAAAAAAATTTAATTCTGGGAGTGGGGGCATTTTGACTATCTTAACGGGGGATATCCTTTACGGTTCGGTAGTAGCCTAGTCTTCTTCCTTGTTGTATGGAGGCTTTAAAACCTGTTTTTTCTTCAATATTAGCCTCCTAAATTGTTTAAATTATCGCACCATTTTTTCTTGTCTGCCAATACTTCTTCGTCCATTTGGTGACTTATCTCGTGCTATTCGTACTATCCTATCCTCTGCCATTCTAGTAATGTGTTCATTCCACCCTTGTTTCCGTTTTGTCATTCATGTATTTGTGTCTTCTATATTGCATGCTTTTCTTATGTTTTCGCTTCTCTCCCTATCCAACAGACTTTTCCCTAATATTCGTCAAAATATTTTCATCTCTGTTGTTTCTAGCAGTCGTCTCGTTTTAGATATGTCAGGTCTTGTCTCCGCCGTGTATGTTAATATAAGTCTAATTGCTGCTTTATAGATTCTTGTTTTTGTGTTTTGTCTTAGGTGTTTGTTCTTCAAGATTGTGTCACTAACAGATCCCGCCGCTTTACTGGATTTTAAGCTTTGTTGTAGTACTTCTTCTTCGACATCTCCGTAACTACTTATTATCCCCTATCCAGATACCTAAACATTGCTTTCTGCTTTATTATTTTCCCATCATTTTCGATTTTACGTAGTAGTGGGTATTTAGATGTTGCCATTTTTTCTTTGAACGTCTTTTCCTTTTTCCCCCATTTATCCCCTCTTCAGTATTGCTTTAAGTTATCTAGGTCTTTGGGCTCCTATTTTAGCCGTAATTATTGGTTTTCCATACATCCTCATTATTTCTTGATTTGTTCGTCTTCTCCAAATATTCTCTGTCTTCTTTATCCCTCAGAAAATTATTCTGAGCACCTTTTTCCCAGATCTCTACTTACTTTTCTTCCTGCTGGTTCATAATCCACGTTTCGCTGGAATGTCTTGTAGAGTCGCAGATTAAAGTATAAAGGTAAAAGGTATCGGCATAGCTCGCAACAAAGAAAAAAATATAATAAAATATGTGTATAAGATGGAGGCAACCGTATATACGTATTTCTGACCATTGGTCGTCTTTCAGTACGGTGTAGCCAAGTTAGAAAAGCGTCATATTAACTTGGTAAAATGCACTGAAAAATCAATGAAAAATATAGTACGTAGAAACACATATTTTAATAATCTTCTTATTGTTTCAGAGGTCTCTGGAACGTTCCCTTCATCTCCAACGCCTACATCATCAACGCCACTCTCCTGCGAAAACACGATCGCACCGTTCTAAACTACACAAAACCCAACTTGGATGCCGATATGGCTTTCTGCAGCATCTTGCGAGATTTAGACGTTTTTATGTACGTATCGAACAGACTCGAATTCGGCCATTTGATCAACTCAGACACTTTCGATATTACGAGAACTGAACCTGACATGTACCAGATTTTCGAGAATGAGAGGGATTGGGAGGATAGGTATATCAATGAAGAGTACCCTGAGAATTTCAATCCGGAGAAAAAAGATGCCCAGGTAAGAGAATTGTGTACTTTATGTGAGACTTTTGGACTAAACACTGCTCTTTCATTCAACTCCATCAAGAACTCTTATGCTCTAGAGAAAATCCGTCAATTTTAAAATCTCTGTAACGTTTTTTCCATGTGCATGGATTCCTCTTAGGTCTCTTGCGTGTAATAGTGATGGATTTCCTTCTTGGAGGATTTCCTTCCATATAACTGCACAAACTAATTAGCAAAACGGAGCCGGTAATAAGACTTTCAGTGCAGCGTTTTCAATCCTTTCTCAGACTTCATGTCGAACCGAAGATCCTCATTTACTCTTCCATCAATATGTGCTCTGATATGCACATATATGCACGTTATTATAATACTATAAGCTCATACTTGTATATATATTTAGAGCAAGCTTGTGAAAGGGTAAAATATGCATAGACTGACAAAATCCCTTTGAATAAACACAAGACTTGTTCTGAGATGGAAATCAAAAAGAGTTTCCAATTCTAAACACTCCACGTCTGTTTCTTACATGTATATATTTCTAACATTTTTGTCTTTAGCTCTTGTCTGTCGATATCTGTGTTATAAGATATTTTTTTCTTCTACATCCATTATTTTTTGTCTTTATTTTACACCTTTTCTAGTAGCTGTCGCCCACTTCCCCTTTCTTCTATACTTTCTAGCAAAAATATATCTCTTCTGTGACTCATATCTCTTCTGTACTCGTCTTATCTACTAGTATATCTGTCTGGTTTCACACTTCTGTCGTCGGTCTTTTATCTCAGTAGATATTCTACCTGCTGGTATGTATGTTTTGTTTCATATGCTGGTATGTCCCTTTTTTTATCTTCGTTCATATCTCCATCGATATGCTACTCTATACCTCCCACTTTGTATCCACTTCCTATGCCCTATCTGTATCTCTCTCCTACATTTGTACTCTCTCCCCCTCTTTGCTGTGTATAGGTTTGGGTACAGTACCGTACGCTTTATCTTACCTGTTGCTATCCTCTTAGTCCTCTGTCGGTAATCTGTTCGGTTCAAGCCCCATTAACACATCAATTGTATCCCTATTTATTAATCAAGCCCATTTCTTTTATATGTTTTTTATTATTCGTGATCGGTGTTTTCTTCTAATATTTTCTTTTGTTCCTTTTTCATTAAATATTTCTTTATTCTCTATATCATCACTGTCCAAATATCTATTTTATACCTCATTTCACTATTGATTTTTATCATTTATTTACTGTGCTAGTCGTAAAATAAATTAAGCTGTGGATTTAATGGGTAAACGTCCTTGGAGGACGGTAAAACCATTAGTGTCAACCGTTTTTTTAAGTTAGTTCACGTTTTCGAATAATTTCCTTTCAAAAATATTGTGCAAAAACTCAAAATACCATAATTTTCATAATTTCTATCCCCATTTATTATAAATTAGGAAAAATATAATAAAAACTATTTGAAAAATTGTTATCTCACTAAATTTGCTTTTAGGAAAAAACAATCCAATTATTTATCATAGTTATAATCTAATTGGCCTAAATGTGCTGAATGATTTTTTTTTTCTTAAAGCTGTCAAGAATTTAAGATCTAATTCTCAGCGCAAAAGTTCTCACGTCCTACAAACTTTGCGCTAATCCGCTGCTTCATCCATAACATGCTGTTGGTCTGATAATAGTTTTGTAGACCCTGATTTTAGATCTTCAGTGTGTGTTCTTGGAGCGGAACACATGGGTGAATCAAAAGATACCTTGTTTCCCCCTACTATTCTTCTTTGAAATCTTATGTCCCATCCGTGCTTAATGCAACTCTCAGATATGTGAATCTTTCTACTGTTTTAATATCGCCTTCTAATTCAACTGTGCGTCTATTTCCCCCACCTCTTGCCTGTGTTAGCTTCTTTGTCTTTTGAATATTTATTTCTAGTCCGTCTCGTTTGCAACCGTTTTTAGTTGTGTATAAATTTCTGCCGTCTATTCCGTTCTGTAAAGGTCGCTTTACATTTACGAGTACTCGGATCCGAGTAGCTCGGATTTGAGTTACGAGTGGACTGCGATCGTTTACATTAAATCCGAGCGATCAGAGTAATTTCAAACAGAATTTAAAAATGGCGCCATCAAGAAAAGAATGAGCTGCTGTTGCATTATGTTATTAACATTTTAAATAGAGAAAGATAACGATAAAACATTAAGACAAAGAAAAGCATTTGGGTGAAACAACATTTACAAGAGTTTGTTAAAAAATGTTACCTAATTAATTTAATTTAAAGCATTATTTCCTTGATAATGTCCCGAACTCGTTTAGTTTCACATTCCATAAATATTTAAAAGAACTATAAAGACGATAATATGATCCATTTAATCTGCAGAAAATCTTAGTTCCGCCATATTTAATTTGGAATTTCCCACCACTTTGAAGCTCACTCGTACTGCTACTCGGTATGCGTTCAACTTCAATCCGAGCTCGGTCCGAGTGACAAAGTAGAGTAACTCAGATCGAGTACTCGTAAATGTAAAGCGGACTTACACATAATGCAGATGTGATTGGCAGAGGCAGCAAAATACTCAATTCCTTAATACTAGTTTGTTGCTAAGCAACTTTAAGAAAACATTACGGGAATATTTCCAACATAGATCGATAATATTATTGTAGAACTGTTTGGGAAAATTTAAATCTAAAAAATATTTAATTATTTATGCATTTTTTAAATAAAAACCTTTATTGTACATGTTAGCCCTGCCCTGACGTATACTGGTTCCCAATCGTCTCCAAGAGATTCAACGAAGCCCTCATCCACATGATGGAGAGCTACGGTAAATGGTCGTCGGGTAAGAATGAAGACGATCGTCTAAATGGTGGGTACGAGGCAGTTCCCACCAGGGATATACACATGAACCAAGTTGGATGGGAGCGTCACTGGTTGCACTTCTTGCAAAAATACGTAAGACCTTTACAAGAAAAGGTTTTCACCGGTTACTATCACGATCCGCCGAAGTCCCTAATGAATTTCGTAGTGAGGTAAGTGCATTTTTATTCATATAATAGTAGCTACGCAACAATTTTTATTTTTTCAAGCGGGTGTTGTTTAGAGACCTCACTTATTCAATTTGATAGATATTTTCCTGTGTTTTTATAATTTTTGAAAGACAATTAAAAAATTGTCTTAGAATGTATTTAGAGATTAACTCGTTAATAACAAAAAACAGTTTGTACACTCGTACAATATCTAGAGATTTCTGCCGATAATATTCTGGTAATATTCTATTAGTCAGGGAGCTTGTTAAAATGGGTCCCTTTTAGCTCTCATCGCCTCTATCAGGAATTATCGGTTTGGTGGCGAAGGCGACAGATATTTCCAGCTCTGCATAAGCTTTTAAGAGGTAACAATCAACCGTTTTTGAAGAGCAAGATCGTTTAGTATTAAAGAAACACGATCATTTTTACGATATTCCTCCGCAAAATCAATCTACTGTTTCAGTAATCATCTGTTTAATTCTCCTTCGTCCTCTATCTTTATCCCTCATCTTCGTTATATTTTCATCTGTATCTCTGGGATAAAAATGTTTTTTGTAACCAACTTTTTAAAATCAAATCTGATATGTCATATTTTTAAAAGAAAAGACTACTACTAGTACTTTGTTTCTTTTAGGTATCGCCCAGACGAACAGCCAGAGTTGAGACCACACCACGACAGCTCTACGTATACCATCAACATAGCACTCAACCAAAGAGGTCTCGATTATGAAGGTGGCGGTTGCAGATTCATCCGATACAACTGTAGCGTCGTGGACACCAAACCAGGATGGCTGTTAATGCATCCTGGACGACTGACCCACTTCCACGAAGGATTGCGCGTTACCAAAGGCACAAGATATATAATGATTGCGTTTGTAGATCCATAAACAGTAGAAATATTTTACTTAATGTGTACTTTATTGATACAACGAAGTTTATTAATATTTTCTTTAGTCAAAGCTGTATACGAGAATAATGTGAAAAGTTCTAGCTGCCTGTTGCTGTATTGTTGAATTTTTCCTGTGCAAATCAGAATTTTTCTTCTTCATTTTTTCATGTATCTGATCAAAAACTTATGCGTAGTATTATTCATTAATTGTTTAACTATACAAAGATATCTAACTAAAAAAAATAATTTAGAATTACGGAAAACACTGATCATAACTTTTCCAGTAGATCTGGATAGAAAGTAATAGAGATATTTTTAATAGAAAGTAACCAATATTAGATACTTTTATGAGTTCCTCGGTGAACTGAAGTGACTTTTTGTCTTCAGAAAGCGTAGACAGTGTCCTGATACGTTGCTGAGTATTACTTTGCAACAAGTTTACCAATCTAACAACATCAGTAACTTTAATAGTAACAGTACCCTCTAGTAGGGCTACTCTTAGAACTTTTTGCCTTCTTCTCGTAAAACACGTAGCATTTCTAATTTTTTGAACATATCTGTATCAATATTACATCGATTAAGTTGTAGTACTAGTCAGTTTTACTCTCTAACTTAGCAAACAACTACTTAACAAATCTAACACAGTGTTAATATTCTGCTAAGCTTGTCCTGTTCCTTTTTTTCTCTGTTTGTAGGTCTTAAAGTTTGAAACGAACAATTTTGTAATTAGTTTTAGGAAAAAATAAACTATTTTGATAAAAACCGTTTTATTTTTATATTAAACCTATTATTGGAAGTCCTGAAGGTTTTGAAAGGGTATAAGATGTACAGACTGACAGAAAATCGTTATAATTAAAGACAAAAATTGTTCTATACTAGAAATCTTGATTTTTGATTGTGTACTTCTGTTTCTTACTATATTTTGTCAACGTTCTTATTTATTTTCTTTTTTCCTTTATATTCGTCGCCCTCTTTGTCTCTTCTTATTTTCGTTTCCTCCAATTCCTTCATTTGTCTTATTCTTCTTCCCGTATCTCTTCCGCATTCCCCTGTCTGGACTTTCGCCGTCCTAGCTAGTTGACTCTGACTGTGCCCAGCGATAACCCATTTTTGTCATATTTCCATCTATACCTCCATCATTGCTCTGCGACTCGTTTTCTATGCCTTTCCCCTTTTTCTTCTATCTGCTCCCTTTATTTTCTCCCCTTCGCCCTCCTACTGTTATGTCTGTCTTGTTTTCTCTTTTCGTCATTTTATACTAGCACTCGGCATTTTATAACTCTTCCTCCTTTTCTGCTTTTCTTTCCTTCCATTTATTTTGCTCTTCTACATCTCTTCTGTACTCCTCACAGGCTCACAGGTTGTGTCTCACGGGATCTCACTCTCTTGTTGTCTCTTCTTCTGTATCTTTGTACACATCTGTCTATGTCTTTATTGTCTTTTTAATCTACCCTTCTGATGTCATTTTAGCAACCCCCTCCTTCATTCTCACTGGTTCTCTTTAGTTATGTCATGTTGATTAGAGATTATTGCACCCTACATCTCTTGCTCACTGTGTCCTTACTCCATTTTTTCGGTCCAAATCTATTTCTTTCCTGCACTATGCCCTGTTTCAGTCCTCTATTTTGCTCTCGCATATCTTCCCAGTACTCCTCTTCTTTGCTTTTTCACTTTAAATATTCCTGGCTCTCTATAGCTAGCAACCCATTTTCGCTATGTTGTTCTCTATACCTACCTCGGTCCACAACTATATCTTTCTTTTTCTATAACTTAACCCCTTCGGTTTTCTACTCCCGTTGTATATTTCTCTTGTATTCCATCTTTCTGTTATTCTAATTTCGTATCTCTGTCCTGTCTCGATGTTCGTACTGTTATCTTCCATCTTCTTTACTCTCGTTCATGCCCTTCTCTATCTGCTCCTCTATATCTCTCGCTTTCTGTATCTATATTTACCTTTTTTAATCTACCTGACTATCTTTCCCAGGATTCCTTTTTGGCTGTTTCGTCCTCTTATTTTCTTTTATTGTCAACATTCTTCCTTCCTTCACCATTTATTTTGGTCTCTCTGTACTGCACTCTTCACTGATCTTCTATCTCCAATTTGCTTCGTTCTGTACCACTCGTTAACTTCAGTCTTCTTTATCTTCGTCGCTTTCTATGACTTTTTGGGAAAAACTCTAGTGTTTGCACCACCTTTATCTCTTTCCTGTACTGTCCCTGTTTGCTATTCTACCTCCTTTGTTTTGTATATCTCTCATGTACCTCCTCCCAGCATTACGCTTCCCTGTCGTTTCACCTTCAATTATCCCTGGCTGTGAACAGATATTTTAAAAATGGCGTATAATAACTGAACTATGACAGTAATGTAGATTTCTTCGACGTGATGTAAGAGCATGAGGAGCTTACAATGCTATTGAGATAAAAAATTTCCCATGTTCAAGTGCCACATACTCTGCAATCTCCAGTCCACTAATCACTAAAAGCAGGTAGCAGTAGGATTTTGTTCATCTGTGACTGGATTATTTTGTTTATAGTAGATACCTCTCGAAACTTAACGACACCACTCAAATACGAATGACTTTGTAATAAGGCTTTCTGCAACAATTTGTTGACAACTATACATAAAAGTGTAAGCGATCTGGATGATTTAGACAACCCAACCATGATCTATTATAATGTTTTACACTTAAGCTTAAGAGTGAGCGACTGACATGATTATTTTCAGTTTTTATTAGTATCATGTAGCAATATTATGGTAACGAGCGAGTGACGTGTTGATTACTCCAGTATCTAATTGGTATCTAGTGGGTCTTGTGATTAATTTTAGTATCGGGTACTTGTTGGGTACGATTCGATTACTTTGAATCCTAGTAAGTATTCGACGTAGTACAATGGACCATTCTTAGAAAAGACTTAAGAAAGTGTCTATATTCAGGTAAATCTAACCTTATACAGAATCTCATAAAAGTTACTGCTTTCTGAATTAAATCGAGTTTAAAAAAAAAGGTTTTGAATCGTTACAGTGTCCTTCACTCTTTTACCGTTTACTCACTCCATTTCTTTTGTTTTTCATTTATCTCATCTTTGCCGTTTCTCATCGTTCTAGCTAACTTTCTTTTAATATCTTCCACCATGATCTTCCATCTTAATTATGTTCCGCTCTATATCACCTTTCTGAAATCAAAGAAGATTGACTACAACGACGTCAGGATCGTATCAAATTTATACTATAAACACCGAGCAAAAGAAAGGGTTAATGAACAGGTGTCAGAAGAAATTGAAATTAGACGTGGAGTGAGACAGGCATGCGTGGAGTGAGTCAATTCTTTTTAATGCCTACTCCGAAGAAATCCTGAAAAAAACTATGAAGGGTGAAACAGCTGGAATAAAGGTAAATGGAGTTCCTATTAACATTAGATATGTGGACGACACTGTGCCGAAAGATCGTAGACTGGAGACCAGTATAGCGGAGTATGGAAAAGAGTACGGTCTAACAATGAACGTCAAGAAGACGAAATCTATGAGAATATCGTAATCTCAAAGAAATAACGAGAATCTTCTAATAAACGGAACCAACGGAGAACAAGTGGACAAATATGCATATCTGGGAACAATGATTAACTCCACAAATGATTACATTCAGGAGATCAAAATCAGAATAGAAAAGACTACAGTAAATTTTACAAATTAAAGAGTGCTATGTAAAAGGGATTTAAAATTGGAACTAAGAGTTAGCTGAGGTGCTGTTTTTTCGACTTTGTTTTATGGAATGGAATTTTGGACCTTGAATGCGACATCAACGAAAAAACTGGAATCATTCGAGCTGTGGGTGTATAGAAGAATTCGGAAAATATCGTGAATAGAACACGTCACAAAGAGGTTCTGAGAAGGATGAATAATGAAATAGAAATTTTAAACACAATTAAAACAAGAAAATTTGAATATCTCGGACATATTACACGTGGAGAGAAATACACCTTGCTCCAACTGATTATGCAGGGAAAGATCCAAGGAAAGAAAATCATAGGGAGGCGTAGAATGTCATGGCTGCGCAACCTGAGAAAGTGGTATGGATGTACATACATCAAATGAACTTTTCAGAGCAGCCGTCGCAAAAGTCCGAATTGCTATGATGATTGCCAATCCCCGCCACGGAAATTGCACTTAAAGAAGAAGATATCACCTTCCCTTCCAGCTCGCCCTTTATATGTCCTTTCCTCTTGTTGTTGTTTTTTTCCCTCTCTTTTTGTGAATAAAAAGAATTTATTAATTTTTAATTATAAATAAAAGTTATTAATTGCTTAGGAAATGTTTAATAAAAAAGAAAAAATAATCCATAATTTATTGTAGTACGTTCTATATATACATTCATATATTTACATCTATAATTTATCATTTACAATTCTATACATTAAAATTAAAATATACAAAAAGTTATACGGTTTGATTAAAAATAAATACGGTGTGTATAGAAAAAATCAACAAAACCTTTGGTTCTTTTTCCGTTGAGGCCGTTATATAGACTAATTAATCTCTTACAAGTAAATAATAGATATCAGGAATGTTCGCGTTTTGTTACTTGAACTTTTCTTTCAAAAATAATCGCTATATATGTACTTTCTACAGTCATTATATACATTATTAGTATACCGCTGCAAAAGGTCGATGATTTGGTTAATTTCGGAAGCACATTCTACAAAAAACGAACATGGCTGTGAGTTAAAGACAATTTTAAACCACTAAAATTGTATTTAGCTCATTGGCATGGCAATATAAAATAAATAAAGCCGCTGCACCTACAAGGAAAGTTTTTAAATCGCTACCACATTAAGCCGGCTATGACCCTGACTTGACTTGGCAGCTGTCAAGTAATGACATTAAATATTTGCCGAAATGGCGCTCAGAGTTTAGGAATACAGTCAACAGAATTCCAGTAGACCTTCGATTTCTGACTTAAGATGTGTTTGAAGACTAGCGGATGAGAATTCGCGAATTCTAACAAAAGTTTCTTCAACGATGCCCAGAAAAGGATGAAGAATTTTGAGTTTCCATTGTCATTATCCAAAAACTCTCCATATTTGATATTTCACTAAAAAATGTTTATTAAATTGTGATATATCAAGTTAGACGTCATCGTAGCTTCTTTACAGCAATAATATTGTAGGTATCAGCAATAAGTATTATTTTAGTCTAATTTGGTTAAATTTTTCAGTCTATCCGTTTCTAGTTCGAAAACTTGCACTTATGTGTTAATCACGATAATCAATCCATAAGAAAGTAAGTTTTAGCATATTAAGTCATAAATTCACCGGAAAAATAAAACGTTCATTCAAAAAATTTGTCCTAAGCTTCGCTGCAAGCTTTTAAAATGTTTTTAGAACTGTCGAGGGGGCTCGATGCAAAAATTGCACCTAGGTGAAGAAAATTCGAGAATACGAGAGCTTAAGCTGAAATACTCTGCTTAGAAAGATTCAGAACAGACAAATAGCGTATACAGTATTTAGTTTAATAGTTTGTTTATTTTTATATTGTATTCTTATTTATTTATTGTTTAATGCAAATATGTATCTCGAATCGCTTAGAAAAACCTCTGAATGGACCGTTTTTGTTTGCTGGTAAGTTTTTTTATCAAAATATAAACGTTTCGTACCTCAAATACGACTTCAATTCTTGTGATAACTTCGAAAATTATTCAACCATCGATCTTTCACAATAAAAGATACATCTAACAGCAGAAGTAGGCCAATATATTACTAGATATCACATTTAAGTAAATACAGTTAAAAAGTTGTGGGAAGTGAATACTGAGTCGGGGGAATCCCACGGATTTATAATATACTCCTTCAATTCCCTTAGGAAAGTGCGAAAATAGGTGAGCGTTAGTAGTTGGCAATATCAGAAGTTTCTAAATGGAGCAGACTGAGTTTACAGCAAATATTTTTAGTAAATAATGAGACAGCAACATAATAATATCAATATAATTATTATCGTCAATAATTCAACATTATTTATAGCAATTTAGACAGCAAACGAGATAAATAAAGCGGTGGGACCGTTCAAACATGTCTACAACACACTAATGGATAAAAATCAACAATATTCGTATTAAAGTACATTTTTTTAATATATAATTTGTAATAACTCGAGACTGATGTAAAAATAAAGTACTTTTAAGAGAATGTATGTGTTTTTTATCTTCATATGAGATACCCACCTACAAATTGGTCCAATAACAATCGAAGATACATCCAGCATTTTTTTTACGAAGTTTTGCATAAAATCAGCTTATTATACCTTATATATCTTCATATATAACTTGTTTTTAGGCAGAAAAATTGTTAAATGTTGAATGATTGGTTTTATTTTTAACAAAAAACATCGTTTGGTCTATAGCTCGTTAAAATACGACCAACTATATCATTATACTTTAAAATTATCAAAATTACTCTGTATATTTGCCAATTACTAGAAACACGATAAAAAGTGATACAATCAGAGTTCATATCTCACGAAATGGTGACTTTATTATAAAGACATATATATTATATTATAAATAAAGTGTTAAATAAAGAACACACCCTGTATATTTGAATTATAGTAATATGTATATGAGCTACTGTAAAATATAAATACATATTTTCTATGAACCCTGTTGCATTTCGTAAATGTCTGCATCGCAAAATAGAAATGATTCGAACTCTTAAATTGACTGAAAGTAATAAATAACTGAATTGCCAAAAGACCGGCTACAGGTATATTCAAGTCTTCAGTGCTGAGAAAAATATAATATCTATTAAAGATGAAAGTATTTCTTATGTATCACAAATATTTTTTTTATATTAGAGATTGTTAATAACATTTGAATCGTTCTTTTGAATGAGTTGAAGTTGAAAAGAACTAAAAATGATGAATCCCCGATTTCACAAAACCATTGTACATAATTATTTACCGTTCTCGATATATTGTATGCTTCTACCACATAAATAACTGCTGGTAAACACTTAATATCAGTACAGAAATATTTTCCTCTAAAACAACTTATTTGCTAGAACAAAGCTAGAACTGGAATACTAGCACCAGAATAGTGAAAAAAATGTAAGGTATATTGAACAGGTCAGTATTTTTCCCATCCCTAATATTTCTTCTACATCAGAAACATTTTCATTTATATTAAAACATTTTGTTTATATTGATGATTTAAAGTTGGGCTGAATCGATCTTTTTGACAATTTAAAATTTATAATTGGCTAGAAATCAAAAACAAAGGCTAGAATAAATATAATTCCTAAGAGATGAGAGCATTTACTCAAAGCTACAGGTGAAATCGTATGACATCAGTATAATGCATATTTATACTTAATATAATAAAAATAAACACCGCTGGCAAAAAATAATCCCTACTAGAGATGAGAGTACTAAGAGGTGAGAAATAAAATTGTACTTAATTGTTCTTTTTTATGAATAATTGAACTTTAAAATTGGCGAAAAATTAATAAAAAACTGAACTACCAAAAACCAAGCTGCCGTGTACAATGTCGATATATTGTATATTATTACTTGAGATCATCACAAAAAAATCACCGCCGGCAAAAATATAATCCCTATTAGAGTTTAGACATTTCCTCCCTTCTAATATCTCTTTATATTAGAAGTATTTTCATCTACATTAGAAATGGAAAATAAAATTGGATTGAATCGTTACTTTTGACGGTTCGAATTTTAAAATTGGCTAAAAGCAATAAAAAAAAGCTACAAAAAAAGCAATAAACTGAGCTCCAAAAACCAAGTACAGGTGTAATCGTATGACATCGCTATATTGTGTATTTCTACAAAACATAACAAAAAAACACATCTCTATCAAAAAGTTAACCCCTACTAGAGGTGAGAATACTAGACATGGGAAGTAAAATTGAACTGAATCGTTCCTCTTGATGATTTGTACTTTAAAAACCACCGATGGCAAAATATAATCCCTAGTAGAGTTAAGAATATTTCTTTTCCCCTAATATCTCTTTTATATCAAAAATATTTTTCTCTACATTAGAGATGGGAAATAAAATTTAACTGAGTCGTTACTTTTGATGATTCGAACTTGAAAAATCGGCTAAAATCCATAATGAACTATCAAAAAACAAGCTAAAGTTATAGCTTGATCATTCAACGTGTTTTGTACAACATGAATACATTATACGGCCTTCCTAATAACAAGACGATATAGTACCGTACTTACTTGAAAGAATTATATTATTTAGAGATGGGAGAGTTTTTGAAAAATAGAGATGGTATGAATCGTTATTATTGATGATTTAAACAAGTAGATAACTCACCTCCCAAAACCACGATAAAATCATAACATGAAGAATTGTGAATATTACTAATAAACTGTTTATTTCGCATAGTATTATTTGAACCGTCTAATGTTTGGTATTTTATAGAAAAGACAGAAATACTTTCACCTTTATCGTGCGACGATCAATTTTAATATTTTGCGATGCAGTACTACATTTCTAAGACCACCCAAAAACAAAAACTTCTAGAGGAAATAGACTTATATGTCGGAATCAGGTACAAATACATTTAGAAGTGAAGATTATTATTCTTGTCCAAAAGTATCGGTTTCTTCTATAGCGTACGTCAGTTTCTCTACGAGTTGTTCGTAGCTTTTGTATGGGGGAAGGTCCAGCCTGTTAAAGCAGGTGTGTGAGCGGGGCAGCCACGATTCTTTGCCTACTTTTTCTATACAGAATCTTTGAGGACCATTGGATCCCATCAGTTCGGCGAAGCCTCCGACCGGTACTCGACAAGTACCGGTTACGAATTGTAGTAATCGGGCACGTTTTTCATTATCTGATTGCTTGACAAACTGTAAGGAAAATATTCATTAAAAAAACTCTTAAATTATATTGATTGCAATATCAGATTAAAATAAGCAACTGACCTGCCAAAACCAGGCTACGGGTTTACTATTTCTTGTATAATGCCGGTATATCGTGTGCCTCTGCCAGTCCTCGACATCAATCTCTTGCATTCCACATAATAAAAGTTCCAGTTCCCGTTCGTCGAAATATTTGAGCCATTCAATCGGTACCACTTCATTAAAACCATCAAGGAATGCCTGGGTCTGTTCTTCGATGCCTCTCGTCATCCTCCAGTCAGTCATTAGCGTTAAATACTCCTCTTTGTTTTCTTCAGTGACTCTAAAATATACAAATTTGGAAAAATATAAATAGATATATAAGAGAATCCGAAAGCGAAAATTTAGCAGCAATGTATAGAAACAAAAATCAACAATTATTGTCCATAAAGAAAGTCTTCGAGTGGTTATTTCCAAAGAAGACTCACAATCTCTCAGAAATAACGTATTATATTCCACATTTCAACATGTATGTATGTATTTCATGGCAATATAATAGAAGTAATCCCGCTCGAAGGACCAATGTAATTAATATCAATCTATATTATAAAACACTAGACATACCTTTCTTTGTCTCCGTTTTTCTTCAACTCGTGATGCACTATCTGGCCCAAAACTTCAAAATCTACACTATAGAACAACTCCAGACCGCAGTCGTCGATGTCGTTCTCTTTTATCCACACTAACGAATTGTAAAATTCTGGATCTATACTTTCGATGTCCTTCATTACAAGTTTCTTGCCCAGCATTCTCTTGTAGAAAGGCATTGTGAATCCGGAATAGATGAACCTGCCGTGGTAGAGCGCCATCGCTATAAACCTACCTGCAAATACAACGAAATAAACCAATAAAAATATTCTTTACCAAATAGAATTTTAAAATGAGTAATTTTAGCAATATTCCTCGTCTGTCTATATCTTCCTTATTGCTCTCCATCTGTCAGCATTAGTTATATATGTATATATATATATATAAATATATATATATGTCTTTTTTTTATTCCACGAATTCCCGTGTACTTATGAATTTTGTTTCCCATTTTACTTGAATTCTATTTACTTCACCTTTTTTACTTTAACTTTACTATCTACACAGTATCTTTTAATTTTTCTCCCTTTCCACATTGTTTCTCTTTTTTCTGATGCGCGAATTATTCTCTACAGTGCTGGTCAAAAGTCCGTTCCCCCTCGTATCTTTTGAACGGTTATACTTATAGTGAAATTTGGAGGGACGTAATAAACAGACGTAGACTTGTTAACTAGTCATAACAAGTGACAGTAATAGTGACAAGTACTAGTGACAGATGACGTTACAGCGCTACTGTGACAGATAATTTTAAATAGGACCTTATGACAAGTGATACCTCGTTTGAAAGGTATTGAAAATACCTATTCAGTCATAATAATTTTGTTTGAGTTTAATTTCATTTTGATGAATAAATTAAATAAATATTAAAATTGTAGTTTCGCGTTTAATTAATAAATATTAAAACCTCCGCCTCTAGTTACTGGTCAAAAAGTTGACGTTTTTCAATTCTCTAATTGTTTTTAAGTCAACGTCACCTTTTTTGACAGTTAACCAGAGGCGAACGTTAGAATATTTATTAATTAAATGCGAAACTACAATTATTTTCATATACCTATTCAATTATACTAATTTTGTTTGGATTTAATATGAATTTGACGAATAAATTAAATAAATACTAAAATCCTAGTTTGACGTTTAATTAATAAAAATTCTAACGTCCGCCCTTTGGTTATTTGTCAAAAAAGTTGACGTTTGTCAATTCTCTAGTTGTTTTTAGTTTGCAAAAAGCATTTGAAGCGTTTGCATTTGAAAAAGCGTTTGTAGCTTAATATCTAGTTTCTGTTTCTGCTTAGTTTAGTCAATTCAAGTTTAGTCAAGTTGTTTTTAGTTAGTTGTTCTTAGTTAATATGTAGTTTAATCATTGTTTAACGAGACGTTTAAATTTTTACAAAGCCGAATGGTACGTACTGTAGCCGACAAAGTAGCAGCTGGTGAAGCAGCAATTGATGAATGTGGAAATTATTTCCATGCAGCGGAACACCTTTTTAATGAGAGGTACCCCGATCGCTCTAATCGAGAGCTTATTTGAGGAAAGTTTCTTCGGAAGAACAAACAGGTAGTATTCAAGATGTCAAACGATCTGGTCGACCAACAATTAGTGTGATGACAAAAAAATTGACATAATTTCAGAAATGGTAGTGAACCCTACTTCTTCTATAGCCCAAGTTGCATATATCTATGGAATCAGTCAAAAGACAGTACACCGAGTGTTGGCTGAAAACAAATTGCATCCATACAAATTAAAAATTGTCTACCAACTTTCAGATGATGACCCCAACCGAAGACTAGAATTCTGTAAAATATGTCCAATAAAATTAACGAACAGCCCGATAACATAAAAACAATTTGATTTAGTGACAAAAATACTTTTTTTCTCAATGGAAATATTAACACACACACAATGTGAGGTATTGTCCTCCAAATCCTCACGTCTTTCGTGAAACACATAGTCAATTTCCAAAAAAAATAAATGTTTGGGCAGGTATTTTGGGAAACCATATAGTTGGGCCTGTTTTTCTCAATACTAACTTAACCAGTGAAGAGTATCTGGAGATGTTACAAAATGCAATTGAACCGTTAATACTTGAAATTCTGGAAAATAACGAGATGAATTCGGCAACTTGGAAATAACGTTTCACCAAGATGGTCTCTTGCACACCATTATGGTGCAGTAAGACGTTACCTAGATGAAGAATATCGTGGTAGATGGATTAGACGACGAGGTACGATAGAACGGCCAGCTCGGTCACCGGACCTCACACCATTAGGTTTTTTTTGTCGGGATACTTGAAATCTAAAGTTTACGCTACAGCACCCGACAATATTGACATTTTGAAACAACGAATTGTTGAAAAATGTAAGGCAATTTCCCCCAACACATTTGAATGAGTACAATTTTAGTATTTATTTAATTTATTCATCAAAATGAGCTTGAACTCAGACAAAATTATTATGACTGAATAGGTATTTTCAATACCTTTCATATGAGATATCACTTGCCATAAGATCCCATTTCAAATTATCTGTAACTGTGGCGCTCTAAGGTCATCTCTTACTATTACGTCACCTGTTATGACTAGTTGAGAAGTCTATTTTTTCTGGATCTTTTTCCATATTCTCTAGTAGGTCTCTAGCATTTCTTCTTATTTATCTAGAGTATTATAGAATTCATTCTCTTTTATACTTTTCTCTTCAACCGCTTAATATTTTGATGTCAGTTTATGCTGTTCCCCCCCCCCCCCTTAGTTGTCCATGTGTTTCTTCCTTTTCTCTATTTCGAAGATTTGAAGCTGAAGCATTTGTATTATTTGTGCCTTTTATCCATGTAAAGGTTTTTTTATTGATAATTCCTACTATTGTCCAATTTTGTTACATTTATGTTATTATTATGATATGTGTCCCAAAGACATATCTAGAATCTTGCCGTATGCAAACAGATGTTTAAAAAATTTGTTGGAACATAAAACCATATGAAAATGTGTTATACAAGAAGATGTTATCACTTACCTATAAATTTGAAATACGTCAAGTGTTCCGGATTGACATACGAAGCGGGATTGATCTGTAGACTGTAGTTATTCTTGTTCGCGTACTCAAACAGACAATACATCGGGTTGAGCGCTTCGTGGGAGACGAGGAAGAACCATTCTCTGCTAACACCGCCATAATCTAAGCCTTCTTCGCCTTTGAAGATGATGTAAAGCCGTCTGCGAAGCTCGTACGCCGGTAACCTCATGATAGTATGGAAAGAGTCTTCGAATAAGGTTTGGCGGGTGACTTGGATCTTTATGTGGCTGGGGAGGGCGTTACTTTGACACAAAAATCTGAAACAAAAAGACCCTGAATGAATGTCGCCCAATAAATATTCTTTCGAGTGTAATCTGCTGAAGTCATCTTCGTGCATTTTAAAACCCATTACATTATTAAAGACAATATATAGACACGATTTCTTACCTGAACTGACTAATTTTCCATTTGAACGACCTCTCATATGCCCTCGGAACGCCGTACACTCCTTTGGGTCCCTTGGGCGCGCCGGGTCTTGGATCATCGAAAGTCGTCGATTTCGTATTGTGATCCACGAAGTACCTTTTGTTATCCTCCGTATATCTAATTTCCCAACCGGGCGGCAACGGTAACTCCTCTACTTCGCTGATCTCCTGTCCTTGAGTCCGTGGGTCTTCCCATTGGGTGGTCCTGTTCTTGTGGTTGACAAAATATACACGACCTAAAACAATAATAAGGATATTCGGTTGTGTAAACACTGCTATTGACTGTAATTATTTTAAAATGACAGTTGAAGTAAACAATACAACTGTCAAATTAATACATGAATCTAAAACTGGCAGTTGGCAGAAATATTGAACTTGAGATTTCTATCAACAAAATTTGAACACGAAATGACGCATGAAATCACCTGGAGACACCCATACACTAGGAATATAGAAAACCAAATAGATCACATATTAGGCTCAACTCGAATTTGTTATACAGTACAAAGTTTTCTATATATCCGCTATTTTCACTCTTCACTGTAGTTCCCTATATAATCGTTATTTCTTTCCCTAGTAAATATGCTTGTTGAGCGTGAAGTTCAACGTTGTCTTTACTACATTAATACAGTATAAAAAAAGTAAGGCTTACCTTCTGGCTGCACGCGTCTTTCCCATCCAGAAGGAAGAGGACCCAGACCGTCGTCGTCGTCAGCAACAACCGAAGGACCTGGTATGGGCCCGGGTTGGTGTTGGGGATACAAAAATCTTTGATTACCTATAAAAAGAATATGTTGTTAAAGAGTCCAATTGAGTGTAAGGACTATAAAAGTAGTTACTGGATCTTCTTTTATATTGTAGCGTTTTATTTTTCTAGTAATAACAGCCCTTTAAATTTTGATTGTGATGAACCTATAATATCTCGTAAACTGTCTTCAGTATGCTTAGCGACTAAGAAAACATGACCTAGTGATCCTTTTGGTCTCAAGAGTTTTCAGCAAAAGGTATCAGAAAAGTTACCATAGATATATCTGGCTTGTGACGACCAAGCATTCATAGCGACGACGTTGCTTTTTTTATCATTCTATGACGGATCTTCCTATTACTGCGAATCAGATTACCAAGTGTTGGATTGTTCAACATGTACCATAGGAATTTGACCATCATAATACAGATTAGTTTTATCCTACTTTGTACTCGAGCGGGTAATGGTGCGAAGATACCACCCGTGGAATTATGCCTTAATGTCTCAAGTTCGTATCCTTCCTAGTCAAAGGTTGCAACGATATCTCTTGGAATTTCAAAAAGTTCAAAATATTGTGACTTTCCTCGACAATCGTAGTTGGCTACGATAGCTGCACCAGTCCTTATTTTCGTTGAGATTATCGGTTTACGGTGGGATCTATCTTTGCCAACAGACTGGATCTTTAGACTGACGAAAATGAGTATTTTAATCTTGTCGATGAGTGTACTCGGAATTGTCTGTAGGCGATTTATGTACCTGACAGGGTGTCGTACCGGGTAGAGTAATTTCCACGCTTTGGTATTTTGAGACACGATCCAACTTGGATCGTGTCCAACTTGGCTCCTACGAGGCATGCTGTTTACGTTTGGAAAGAGGAAATAGTCACATGGGTCTAAATCTGACAAATGCGGTGGATGGTCGATCAATTCGTACCTTAATTGATTAATTTTACTGCAACGACCGCGTTGTGAGCATGTTAGTGCACGTGCCGCGTTGATACGTGAAATTTTTTGCAAAGCGAAAACTGTCAGTTATTGCTGTATCATTTTTGAATTAATTATCGTGAATAAAACTTTCGGATCCCAGAAGACATTTTTCCTTCTTCAGTGGACTTTTTCTCCACTGCCTTGAGTGTTCTTTCAGCTCCAAGGTATAGAAATGGACCCACGCTTCCTTGGCGATTACTTATACAGAAAATAATTTTTCGGGTTGCGAAAATATTCTATGGAGCCAACATTCGTGTCCGTTTTTGATCAACAATGAGCAACTCCAGCACCAATCGAGCAAATAGCCTTTTCATATCAATGTATTGGGTGACACACTTTAAAAAACGCCATCTATGTAAGTCTAGATTAATGTCAAACATTGTATATTCACTTCTGTTAGAGCATTCGTCAGTTATCGATGTTAAAAAAATGTTAAATCTCTAATACCTCAACAAATTCTACTCCCTAATAATGTAATTAATAAGAAAACAATCCACAAGGAAAAAAATTAATTTCCTGTAGTAGACTGTATACCAATTGGAGCAAAAAATGTATTAAAAAATCCTTTATTAAAGGTGTATTTATTAAAAATAATAGCCTTTTGGGCTACATCACAGAACGTTTTCGGAATAAATATGCCATCTTCAGTGCTACTACGCCACAAAGGTGTGCGTGTTTAAGTTAAATTAAATTTAATATTAATTTAATATCATTTAATGTTTTTCAATATCAATTTAATAACATTTAAATTTAATATTAATTTAATATCATTTAATGTTTTTCGATATCAATTTAATAACATTTATACGATTTTAACCCAAGTATTCAGTGCATTTTAACATGTACACCTTTGCGGCAACACTGAAGATGGAATATTTATTCCGAAAATGTTCTTTGATTTATCCCGAAAGGGTCGTTTTAAGTAAATATGCCTTTATGAAGGATTTTTTACTAAATTCTTTAAAGAAAATAACGCTCAAATGAGTTTCAAATTAAACATAGATTCCTTATCAGTTAAAAATGTAAAAAAAATTATCATTTAAAAACAGTTATTTAAAAAAAAAACGTACCTTGCGAAACGATGTGCTGTCTCTGTCCTTGCCATTGCTGGTAGTGCTGCAGTCGCTCAGAATTCGGCCTCTGCCATGTAGTAGTCCTCGTATTGTGATCTACATAGTAGACGCGACCTCTGGGATCCCGCCGCATTTCCCATCCGGGCGGTAAAGGCTGTGGTCGTTCCCAAGACGTCGACCTACAGTACGAAACGTATAAAAACAACGTCGAATCTCTACATTAAAGAAATTTACTCACCTAGTATTGTGATCCACATAATATCTTCGACCGTAGGTATCGAATCTAAGTTCCCAACCGGGCGGTAAAGGTTCAGCGTCAGCTCTTGTTTCATCTGACTCGCTGTGTACAGCATTACCATTTGGCACAGTTATTGGTGGTCCGATACAGCCTGAAATTACGTCAGACTTTAAACAAAGTCCATATATGAGCATGCAACTTTTTGAATTAATGCTGAATGCAAATTTGTGGGGGTTGCAAACTTCAGTACAAGGTTTAAATTGCAAGAGGTTAAAGTTGATATGTAAATTGAAAAAATATAAACAAATTGCCATGAAGCTCTAAATTTTTAATTCATTGTTTAAGTATTGTTTATAAGAAAGAAATGACATTTAATCTTTAGCATATTTTGTTCATTATGTATTGCTATCATCAAATTTATCAAAAGTATTTGTTAAGGCGGAAATGCACCATTCGATTCGGTTGAACAATATGGATGATTCAATTACATTGTTCAATCAAATTGAAAAGCATACATATACACGCTTCAATTTATTCTTCATTCAATTCGGTTGAACAATGTGGATGATTCGAAAAGTACTTATGGGAACTTTATATATCACAAGTCAAAATGAAAAGATTCTAACTCGATGAAATAAGCGGTTGAATCGAACACAATCAACAAAACTTGTATAGATGAGTCAATGTGCATGAATCATCCCAGTTATACAACGAAGTTAAATGAAAGTAGAAATTATCTCAACTCATTTCAACATTCAATTTTGTTGAAAGCTTTTATTGAATTGCAAAATACATGGTTCATTTTGGTTGAATCATCCACATTGTTCAACCGAATTGAATGGTATATTTCCGCCTTTAGATACCTGTATCTAAGGGTGTCTTGGGAAAATCGTTATTTGCCTGGTCTATTATTGCTCTTCACGAAGCGAACGAGAAAGAAAGGTTAGGGCGTGAACAAGCAATACATTTTTAACATATAGTGAATATACAATTACCATTAGGAATATTGTTGCTGCTGGTGGACATCGGCAAGGGTGTAGCAGCTGGTGTGACCACCTGGCTTCTTCTCGCCTCTATCCTCTCTGTACTGTTTCTAGCTGTGGCTGGTGTCGATGAGGAATTCTGGGTCGGCATTACATTCTCTGCTCCTTGCCCTTTAATTTTGGCTCGAATGCCATTTAGTACTGCCCTAGTCGTGGAGTCTGTATTGTTCTGTCCTAGTGGTAAAGAGTCATTTGAGCGAATGTATTGAGTCATATCAACAATTAGTCCCTGAAAGTTGAAATATTTAGTAAAACATCTAATTAATCACTTGATTGCTTACCTTAAATGTACAAATCAATTCACCGACTTTAATTGCAGCATAGTTCTGTTTCTCCTCACCCATGAGATCTAACGTAACATCCAAATTATCACATCTTCCATTAAAATGAAACAATAACATAAACAAATCGACTTTTTTCTCTCCTATAACTGTGTCCTTTTTGTATCTGTAATGATCCTTAACGGAGAAAAGGATTTTTGATCGAGGTGTGACCAAGCAAGTAAATGTTTCGTTCCATTTTGGTTGACAGCTACTCGTTTTTACCGTCTCAGTCTTTTGAGCGCCCCTATCGTCTACCAGGATCTCTACGTAAGGCTTGAGTAGCATGCTAGGTCTTAAGTTGGCGGACTCAACTAAAAACAAGTAAAACTACATGTGAAATGAGTATTAGATAGTCCTAATGTGCTGCTGTCATTTTGTGATGTGAGAAGAATAATATTATCCAGAATTACATATATTACAAAGATTAATTAAGCAGACTAGTGTATATTGTTTGTGTAAGGTGTTATTGTTATTTAAAAGTCACAAGTTCACTGAGTTAGCATAGGGTGATTTGAATAACTCATTTTACATCGATTTACAAACTAGAGTAAACTAAGACTTCATTAGCACATAAAATTGAAAATAATCTCCTTGAAAAAAATACATACAATTTATAACCTGAGAAAATATATTCTTTCCACAATATGGCTTTAGTAAACATAGGACTCCAGAATTAGAGTGGAGACTACCGATCAACTCCAAAAACAGATGGTATCCATCCAATAAAACTGTATAACCTGGTACAAGGTTCCACAATTCGGTAAAGGTACTATGAATGAAATGAATGGAACATGCACAACAAACCAATTTACTCTAGTATGAACAGCTTCAAAAAGAGTGCAGTGTTAGTAACCAAAAATGAAGAAAGATGGAGAATAAAAACAATAGAATAACAATAATATTTCTTGAAAAACGTCAACACTCTAATCACTACACATCCGCTAAGATGCACAAAATACTTCATTAAAGAAGATGGTTATTGATTAATATTAACAGAAAATGCCTGGCTGAAATGGCTCAAAAATTAGCAGCGTTAAAAAATATCTCTAAGCAATTAAAATATATTTTTAATGTAATTTACATACTTTAATATTTTTAGTGCGATAAAGTACTCAATATAACACAAAAAAAATGCTGGTGAAACATCTGTGTATATAAATGACACATGATTACAATTACTACCTATTGTTATAAATTTGTAAATAAAAACGTAATCCAAACAATACACACGAATATTTCAAAAGCTGATAATTTGTTTTATGCTGTAAATTGTTATCTTAATATGTCTTAATAATCGTTATCTTCAACATTAGGCAGTGACAGCCGGTCAGGGTCGGCAGGGTTGGCAGTGGGCCGACCCACACCTTTATAGATATAAGATTTTTTTAAATAGTTAATTTAATCAGTATTTCAATAATTAATTATCGCAGGAAATAAGTTGATGTCATTTATTTCTGTGAATTAAAAAAATATCTGTGAGATTATACAAAGCTTTTCCCAACAGGTCAAAAAAATTCATAGTTTCGGTTCAAAGAATTCAAGAATACTATGTAAAATTGCAATATTTGAAACACACAATGAGTGTGGAAAAAAGTAAAACATACTATTTTAATACTGATTGGGAGAAAGAATTGCTTTGTTATGTTCAAGGACAAGTAAGATCATTTCAGGCATACATCTCAAAGTGTGAGCATCTGATACCAAATTTTGGTCTTTTGTATCCAAAAATGTCTCCTACATCCTATAGGTAGAAAGGAATTAGACTTATAATATCCAAATGCAAATATCAATGTTTAAAACATATAACTTTTCAGTTAGGTAATAGAAATGTTGGGATCAGCATACACTTTCAGAAATGAAAATATTTAAATCAAATATTGCATTTGGCTAATATGTGACAAGTATCTCACATTGTATTTGCTGTTAACACTCAATAATTACATACCATCTTATAGAAAGTTTATGGATGATATGCCATGCATCAACATAGAAAGGAAATTAGTGATTTAAGAAAAGTATTACTTTAAACAATTAGTATTACATACTTGAGTAGATGCCTTAATTATAGATGAATTAAAAACAAATCTTTAAGCAAGCCAAACAAAACAACATAGAATGGAGATATTCAACATCACCCAAGAAAATGAAGTTTAAGCAGACAATTTTTGTCTGACAAATTATTTGTATGAGGTTTTGAAACAAATAGAGAGTGTTGATGTTGATTTTTTGGAACTTGGTGTCAAAATAATTTTGAAACCAGATTGACTTTAAATAAAAAATTGCCTTGGAATTCAAAACAAAAATCTGTGCATGTTAAATAAAGGATAGTCTTCTTACATGACAATGTCTGTCAACCTGTAGATAAAAAAATTTAAGTTATTGCTTCAGTTGTTCTGGTCTAGTGCACAGTGACTTAATAAGTGTTTCTGCAACTGTATTTCGAAGATCAATATTGTGATGATAATCAAAGACATAGATAATCAGGCCCTGTTACAGTGGCTGTCAAATCAAGCCTGATAAGTACCTTATTATCAGTGACAGTTAAGCAGTGATGTGAAAATAACCAATATAATGAAGAAGGAAATCGTCAGAAGTAAAGATATATACCTAAGAACAGTTTCAGCTCAAAAAATGGAATATTTTGTTACAACCTAGGAATGACAATATAATAAGCCATTTTAGGATAACCCTGCAGATTTTTGAAAATCTTTAAAGTTGCTAATCTACATGAGATATGCTGCTTGAATTTTTAGCATGACAATTGATGTACTTCAAATCAAGCCTGGTCTTATCTTATTTCAATGTATACAGTAGAAAAACTAATACAGCTGGTATTATTAAAATTATTAGCAAATCTCATATCACAATCAATAGGTAACTGATGTAAAAGAATCCATATTATTGTATTATTTCTTAACTTCATTATGTGTTACTGTAAGATTTCTTTCTGTTACTTTTTTGTGCATCTAAAATGACTATGTTTTTTTCTATTGTGACATTACATGTAGTTTTAACTATGGAAAAATTGTAACATATCTCTATGTTGATGATGATTTTTCTTTATATATGTATATTATATATATATATATATATATATATATATATATATATATATATATATATATATATATATATATATATATATATATCCATTTTTCATCATAATTTGATATTTTGGTTTACAGAAAATGTGTATTCAACTTTATCTTGTGTTCAAACTCAGTTTGGTCATTCTAAGTGGGATTTATAAATACATGGGTCAATTATATCACATGCTTGGCAGAGGACGGCAGTGGATAGGGACAACTGGAAAAAAATTCTTAGGGAGGCTAGGACCCACACAGGGTTGTAAAGCCAAAATGATGATGATGATGATTATGATGATGGGTCAATTACAGAACAAAGTTTATTACTAAAAGGCTGCAAACGAGTTGTTCCAAACATAAAAATACATCATATACATTTGTCAAAGATTTCAAATAATCCAATGATACAGTGGAAGACTTGAAGAGGCTTATGTTCAGATGTGGACGTGAATGGCTAAACGAAGAAGAAGAAGAAGAATGATAAAGTAAAGAAACAGAATGTTCCATACAATACAAGGGACTGGGACTATTAAGAAAGATACAATTAACTTAAGTTAAAAGCAACAAAAAGAAATAACACAGAATTTAGCTCAAATTTAAAATAAAAAAGTAAATCTAACTAAAATATTATATTCAAAAGCAATCTGTTCATACCAAACAGAATTTGGGAATAGATGGATTGATAACAGAGGAAATTTTACAAACTTGTTACAAACAAAAGACATATTATACAATTTTCAAACAACAAAAAACATGACAAATATTTAGCTCAATCAAGAAGTACTAAAGCAAAGGGATCCACAGTCTAGAAAATACTACTAACCACTGGGGATACAATAATTAGATGATACCAAAAGCTTTAAACAAAGTAAAAGGGAAACAAGGTAGACCTACACAAAGAGAAAGGAAAATATTATAGAAAAAATATTAATTGTAAAAAATTGGAAGAGTGCACAAAATAGACTAAAATGGCAGGAAACAGAATAATATAATCGTAAAAAGTTATAAATTTTGACTCATGAGGTGTTGATATTTAACTATTGATATTAAAGAATACAAATTAAAACAATTAGTAATCTTGCAAAGTTTAAAGAAAATTATCTGTATCTCATTTGGAGCAAATATATAGTCTGTACTGACACGACCTGTAGGCTATCTCACATTACTAAATTAGAAACACAGAAGCCCCCATTAAATCACAAGGAGTGAAGATTCTACAGACACATTATACCTCGCTATTTCTTCTAAAAACTGCCTCATAAAATTGATGTTTATCAGTTATATGAACAGCAGTTATCACAATCTCTATTTTTTATGAAGTAAAATAAAAATGTAATCCAAGCATGACTAATCACTTCATTTACATTGGATATTCCTTATCAAAGAACTTAAATAAAAAATAAAGAGGCCATTATCTGTTGAAAAGTTGAATTAATTATAAATAGCAAAGTTCATGGCACACTATAAATTGGGATTTCCCTGAATTATAAATATGTATCACTTTGCATGTGGTTTTCCTGCTTTGCTAAGAAAACCTTACACAAAACCATAAAACTGTTGGAAATCATAATATGTACTATAACAAAACAATAGGAGAAAAAACAATAGCAAGTCATCTGACAATAACACACTCAAAGGTTAATTGCACCTACATTGTGCCAAATTCATAATATATGTTAAATAGTCCCTTTGCATTACAAAAAACTACTTACCAGTAATACTAAGCTGGTAAAAGGCAGCTCCTGCAACATTTCCTTGAGCTTGATCCATTTCTAACAATCAAATTAAAGACCTACAAATTATATGGACATGGTTTACACACAGCAACAAATAAATAATTGGTTTGTTAATCACCAATGACAATGATGTAACTTTGTATACGATAATTTCTAATTTCTACTTCAATTTTGGGATCAAATCCATTAGTATCATTTTTTTTTATTTCTATTTAAACTGTGATCACCATTAAAACAACTATCAAAATGACTTCCAGGGAAGTGTTAAATTTAATATATTTATCACTGTGACGAAAATAATATATTTCTTGATAAATTGTTCAAAGTGTATAATAAAAAATGAAAAGATAACTTACCAAGCGCTGACGTAGGGAATCATTACACAATAAAAATACGTGATTTCAAATAAAATATTATTCCAGGGTTATTGTCTTTCTAAATATGTATGGCAATTCATTGGATATGCACTTTGGATTGAACCTCTGAGAAAATATCACTGTAACAATTATTATTTACGAAAATATATTGACAACACAAAACCTGTCCGACATTTTTCATTATTCTTTCACTTCACAATAGTACCAAAATGACTTCAATTACAAGCAAACTCCCTAAAAAATTTTATAAAGATGGACTTTATATGTCCTTTCAATTAAAAGCGATTCTAGTATCCATAAAATACAAATACCTCTGTTATCTTATCTATTATATGTATAATTAATTTATTGTATAAAGATAACAACATTTTTGTTTTGTTATATTTTTTGTGATGTTGGTTGGTATAATTGTTTTAAAATCTTTTCATGAACAGATTGTCATATTTTAAGAAATATCTGATAGATGTCTCTGTTATAATATGAAAATATTGCAAAGATTCTACTCACTTCAGTCACTTCTACTCCAAGACTCCAAAGAACGAAACCACGATACACTTACCGTGTATGTATATCGTGATTGAAACCATAACATGTTGAGAAATGACATTAAATATTTAAATAATATAAATAAGCCGGCATTTTAATGTAATGGAAAATAAAATTATAACCTCACCATAACAAAAAAAAACACAAAAAGTATATACATATTATCGTATAGAATAAGGTTTTTTTGTTATTTTATGACATTTATTTTCTCTTACTTTAAAATGAGTTTACAATCGGAGGTAATTTTAAGTGCCTTTTGAATTTACGGTAATGTATATATTTAGTTATGCACCCTAGCACTAGAAGACGCGCCAATCATCGTTTTACTCGTTACGGGCACTGCTGGGTGGGACTGTGCTGTGTCTCTTGTCAGTCTGTGCTGTGGTCCCAGAGTTGCCATCAGTGGTGAAATTTCAGCACATGTGGTGAAAAAGACGAACCTGTCCGACATTTTTCATTATTCTTTCACTTCACAATAGTACCAAAATGACTTCAATTACAAGCAAACTCCCTAAAAAATTTTATAAAGATGGACTTTATATGTCCTTTCAATTAAAAGCGATTCTAGTATCCATAAAATACAAATACCTCTGTTATCTTATCTATTATATGTATAATTAATTTATTGTATAAAGATAACAACATTTTTGTTTTGTTATATTTTTTGTGATGTTGGTTGGTATAATTGTTTTAAAATCTTTTCATGAACAGGTTGTCATATTTTAAGAAATATCTGATAGATGTCTCTGTTATAATATGAAAATATTGCAAAGATTCTACTCACTTCAGTCACTTCTACTCCAAGACTCCAAAGAACGAAACCACGATACACTTACCGTGTATGTATATCGTGATTGAAACCATAACATGTTGAGAAATGACATTAAATATTTAAATAATATAAATAAGCCGGCATTTTAATGTAATGGAAAATAAAATTATAACCTCACCATAACAAAAAAAAAAACACAAAAAGTATATACATATTATCGTATAGAATAAGGTTTTTTTGTTATTTTATGACATTTATTTTCTCTTACTTTAAAATGAGTTTACAATCGGAGGTAATTTTAAGTGCCTTTTGAATTTACGGTAATGTATATATTTAGTTATGCACCCTAGCACTAGAAGACGCGCCAATCATCGTTTTACTCGTTACGGGCACTGCTGGGTGGGACTGTGCTGTGTCTCTTGTCAGTCTGTGCTGTGGTCCCAGAGTTGCCATCAGTGGTGAAATTTCAGCACATGTGGTGAAAAAGACGAACCTGTCCGACATTTTTCATTATTCTTTCACTTCACAATAGTACCAAAATGACTTCAATTACAAGCAAACTCCCTAAAAAATTTTATAAAGATGGACTTTATATGTCCTTTCAATTAAAAGCGATTCTAGTATCCATAAAATACAAATACCTCTGTTATCTTATCTATTATATGTATAATTAATTTATTGTATAAAGATAACAACATTTTTGTTTTGTTATATTTTTTGTGATGTTGGTTGGTATAATTGTTTTAAAATCTTTTCATGAACAGGTTGTCATATTTTAAGAAATATCTGATAGATGTCTCTGTTATAATATGAAAATATTGCAAAGATTCTACTCACTTCAGTCACTTCTACTCCAAGACTCCAAAGAACGAAACCACGATACACTTACCGTGTATGTATATCGTGATTGAAACCATAACATGTTGAGAAATGACATTAAATATTTAAATAATATAAATAAGCCGGCATTTAATGTAATGGAAAATAAAATTATAACCTCACCATAACAAAAAAAAAACACAAAAAGTATATACATATTATCGTATAGAATAAGGTTTTTTTGTTATTTTATGACATTTATTTTCTCTTACTTTAAAATGAGTTTACAATCGGAGGTAATTTTAAGTGCCTTTTGAATTTACGGTAATGTATATATTTAGTTATGCACCCTAGCACTAGAAGACGCGCCAATCATCGTTTTACTCGTTACGGGCACTGCTGGGTGGGACTGTGCTGTGTCTCTTGTCAGTCTGTGCTGTGGTCCTGTGGTCTGTGTTTTCTTTTCTGTTCTGGCTGTTTGTTCTGTTCACTGTGTTCTTTTGATAGGGTAAGTTCTTCAAAATTTTAAAATCGTAATAATTTGTAGTCATCGTGTATGTAAATGTAACACAAAATTTTTGTTAGTAGAATTAAACGATATTAGGTATTATACACGCACGTATTTTTGGAAAACAAAAAATATATCATTAAAAACAAGCGGCTTATTTGCCGCCATTTTGACAAGCGTATGTACTTACATTTCATAATTTTATTTTTAGTTATCAGTAATAATATAAAAGATGGCAGACGCGGATGATCTATTAGATTATGAAGATGAGGAACAAACAGAGCAAACCGCAACTGAAACAGCGAGTACTGAGGTACAGAAAAAGGGTGTCAAGGGCACATACGTATCAATACACAGTTCCGGGTTTAGAGATTTTCTTCTAAAACCAGCAATTCTACGAGCTATAGTAGATTGCGGGTTCGAACATCCTTCTGAAGGTAAGTTTCTGTTTAATTTCCAGTTAGAAATATTGGTAAAATCAATTGCGAAATTTAATCAGGTATTCTGTCCACACAGTGGATACAATTGAATGTTTGTAGATATTTTGTTTATAATGGTCATTTTGTTGTAGTTCAACATGAATGTATTCCTCAGGCTGTTATTGGCATGGATATTCTGTGCCAAGCCAAATCCGGTATGGGGAAAACCGCTGTCTTTGTATTAGCTACACTTCAAGTGCTGGATCCTACAGAAAATGTTGCATATGTTCTTGTCATGTGCCATACTAGAGAGTTAGCATTCCAGATAAGCAAAGAATATGAACGTTTCAGTAAATATATGCCCAATATTAAAGTAGGTGTCTTCTTTGGTGGTTTGCCTATCCAGAAAGATGAGGAGGTGTTGAAAAATAATTGCCCACATATTGTTGTGGGTACTCCAGGAAGAATTTTAGCATTGGTCAGATCTAAAAAACTAAATCTCAAACATCTAAAGCATTTTATTTTGGATGAATGTGATAAAATGTTGGAGTTATTAGGTAAGAATTTTAACAACTGTTTGGTGTTCAATTGTAATTATGATGTATGATTTTCAGATATGAGACGTGATGTTCAGGAAATATATCGTAACACTCCCCATGAAAAACAAGTCATGATGTTCAGTGCCACCTTAAGTAAAGAAATTAGACCAGTTTGCAAGAAATTTATGCAAGATGTAATTCAAAATTCTTATAATACACAATTTTGTAATGACGCACCCACTCGCAATGTTTGAAAAGTTTAATTCAAAATATGGGGCAAAGTTTTGTTAAATCATTTAAAAGATGAGGGTGTTGGGTTTAAATCATTAGCGCATTGTAGCCCAACGAGTAGGCAGGGGTGGGCCGGGCCAAGAAGAGGACACAATACAAGATTTTCTAAATTTCCGTATAGGGTTTCGCGACCACACTTTCGGCCGTGCTACAATGTAGAAAAATTTATACACCCTCCAAGTCCAATAGAGTTAATGGGGTTAACATTTGAAGTACCAGTGGAGTTCTTTCTTGATTTATTTAGAAGAGTATTTTTGGATATTTGTTCAGAGATCATTTCAATGGTGATGCAGCGATGATGGGATGCGAGATATCAACTGACTGTATGTACGATGGATTCAGTCAAGCTTCCTGAGCCTCGTAACTGCAGACTAGTTCATTATTTTAATAACTATAAAGTAATAATTGAGTTTTTTATCGCCTCAATTATTATTTCAAATAATTTATATAAAGATTAGGAAACTATGATTTTATTTCACCTGGCAGTTAGTATTTTTTTCATTTAAATTTTCGCAGAAAACTGGCTGCATGACTTTAAATTATAAATTATGTTTCAATATGTGTGATACAATTAGTTTATTCATTTGTGATGTAAGTAGTAAATGATATTACATTTAGTGATTTACTGATTATTATTACTATTACTGATTATCTCAATTTTTTTCTTTTTTTACTTAGTTTATTTAAACTTAAAAAAACATTAATACTTTTAATAAAATAATGCTTTTAATGACTAAATAATCTTGATAAATGAATATATTGACATATTGGATTTGCAGTTTTTTTTTATATTTTGCACATTAGCATAGGTTTGGTAATCTGATTTTCTTCACCAGTTGTCTTTGGTGATCTTTTTTATTTAATCATTTTTCTATCTACCATTATTATACATTTTAAAGATTTCAGTATTTATAATTGGTGGTAATCAATAACAACCATTTTATATTCACTAAAAACCTGCTGTTAACAAAGAAATCCTTTATTATAAAAATTCAGTAAGTCATCTTTTTGTAAGTGAATTTTTTTAACAACATTAACAGAAAATATTGATCTACAGAATCGTATCGGCCAAACATGGCTTAAAACTGTTTCAGTCATATTGATAACATATTTATTTTTAATGTAAATAATCCTTTTTTTCAGTTTTTATTTCCACAGATACTTAATTTTTATAAATGCATTTTTTTTATGTTGTAAGTAATTCCTGATTATCTCTAATGTATTTTTGTTTTTTTTTCCTTTTTTATTTGTTTCATTTGACTTAAAGATATTTGTTTTAATAATGTTGATAAACTAATATTTCAGGGTATTACTTAAATCAGCAGTTTTTTTGTATATTTAACACAAAATCATAGTTTTGGTTATCTTATTTTCTCTTCAGTTGTCATTTGGTATCTTTTATTATGGCACTTGTGTTGAGGAAGTCCATCAATCTTTTTTATACGAATAATAATTTATCATTACTTTTTTTAGCCTAATTTAGAAGATTTTAGCAATTTTTATGGACAGCAATCAATATAAATCATTTTATGTTTACTATAAACTTGTTATTAACAAAGAAATCATTTATTATAAAGATTCTGTATTATAAATGATCATTTTCTGTAATTTATGCTTCAATTTTGTTTCTGGATCATTATTAGGACAGAAAATATACAATATCTTATAGAAAAACATTTATTTCTATTAAAAGTTAATCAAATGACAATTTAATTATGTGGCATATTTTTTTATCTATTGTATATGTTATGGTTGTTGTTTGACTGGCAGGAGTAAAGAGAAATAGATTCTGACACTAAAAAATTTCAGGAATGACTGACCCTATTTCTTCAGATGTTATATCTCTCATTGTTTTACTGTGTAACAATCAGTGTTTAAGTTCCCCCATATTTTATGCATCAACCTTCTTACATGTTTTAGCTCACACTGTACACTTTTTATACTTCATGTTATTATAGATTGCTTGTGCTGTGCTACAGTTTTTTATTATCCACTTTCAATTTTTAGCCTTTGTTTCATCATAAAAATCTTATTTTTCTAGTTATATTACAGGAATCAAGTTCAATCACATTATGTTACTATTCAATTTTTGATTCTATGTTGATCATTTCCGAATTTTAATCAGTCTGGTGTGCTAAAAACTGACAGATTTGGTTAAAAAAGTAAAATTTTAATCTTAAAAAAATGTGCCACATTTTTTATTTTATTTTGTTCTGCCTTTATTGCAAAAATGACACATTCAAATTCATATTGTTTGCATGTTTTTGTATTCTTGCCTAATTACAGTAAGTCTTTTATGGTGGGGAGCCTGAAACATGCATTTTTGCCTTGGGTTGCCAGACTTCTCCTAGTTTCAACATTGTCACTAAACCGGAACTGAAGGGAACTGTTTAGTGTATGTATTAAGGTAATTTCATAGTCATGAGTCTACTTAGTACCAAGATAATTATAGGGCCTACACTTTTTCCCTTGGGTGGAATTGTATTTCATAAATTCCACCTATTCTGTGGATACTCTGTTCACTGAAGATCTGATAAATGGTCAAAAGGACTGGCCTGCAACCTGCATGATATTCTATACAGGCTTTTGTGTAGGATTCCCCATTATATGCAGGTGTCCATTCACTGGTATTTGTCCTGAGTGTATTCCTGCTTGGTTTCTTCAATACCTCGGTCCTGTTATCATATTGTCATCCAATATACCATCTGCAGAAGAGTTCCAGGCTGACCTGAAACTCCAGTGTGACACTTATGTTCTGCCAATCTATTGAGTTCTTGCCATTCTCACATTAATCCTGTTTCTGGGAGTCCCTCTAACCACTTGATACATTGTAGTGGGTTATTTTTATCTTGTTTCACCAGTGTCTGATGATTTGTGGTGTTTTAGATTTTACTTTTGCTACTAGTTCTAGGATATTTCCTTATATATTAGTCACTTGAATCTTTCTTAGCTTACCGATAATTACCAAAGTTTTGCTTCCATAAATAGGCAAATCTTTCAGTTCTTGGTATAATTTCTTCGTTACTGAAGAGTGTTATTGGCTTTCACTGGCAGTGTTTTGTACTGAACCATGCTTTCCAGGCTAATATGCGTGGTATCGTAATTATTTCTTCTTGGGCATTTCCTTTACAGCTGCATTAGAAAACAATTATTACAAATTACTAACTATACTAGTTAGTTAGTAGTTTGTAATAATACTACTACTAGCTACTGTTACAAAAATTTCTTGGTGTCATTTTTGTACTAAAAGTGTGTTTATTATAATTTTTTTATAGAGAATGTAGATCTTACTAGAAAAATGTGTATAATTAATTATTTTTTGTTCAGCCCATGGAAGTATATGTTGACGATGAAGCTAAATTAACATTGCATGGTCTACAACAACATTATGTAAAACTAAAAGAAAATGAAAAGAATAAAAAGTTATTTGAGTTACTAGATGTTTTGGAATTCAACCAGGTATGTACTTGTATTTATGATTGACAGTTTAGTCTTCAGACATTTAAAAGGTATACCTATATTAAGAATACTATGATGAAAGATTTTTATATGATTCTGATGAAATCACGAACTCTCTCACTGATTTTTACTACTAGAATATATTCATGTATAATCTTTGTGTTTGAAATCTAATAGTCTATTTTTTTAAGGTTGTTATTTTTGTAAAATCTGTACAAAGGTGTGTGGCCCTAGCACAACTACTGACTGAACAAAACTTCCCAGCAATAGGAATCCACAGAGGAATGGATCAAAAAGAACGACTGTCCCGGTATGAACAATTCAAGGATTTTCAAAAGGTTTGTATATATTACAACCAGTATTTGTATATAGAATAGTTTTACTCTTTTTATTTTTTATTCTATATCATATTTTTGATTTCAGAGGATTTTAGTAGCCACAAACTTATTTGGACGTGGTATGGATATCGAAAGAGTGAACATTGTCTTCAACTATGATATGCCTGAAGATTCTGACACTTACCTGCACAGAGTGGCGCGAGCTGGTCGTTTCGGTACCAAAGGTCTAGCCATTACCTTCGTATCAGAAGAGGGAGATGCCAAAATATTGAATGAAGTACAAGAACGATTTGATGTTAATATTACCGAATTACCTGACGAAATAGATCTCAGTTCATACAGTGAGTATCTAGAATGATTTGAGAATATGTAGGAGGTTGAAAAATCACACATTTTATTAAAAATGTCATGAGAAATGTACAGAAAGATGCTGTAAATCAAAAGTGTGTGGGTGTTTCATATTTCTGTTACCCAACCATTTGTTTCTTTCCAATTGCTAATGTATATATTTTTTCTTTTCTAGTTGAAGGAAGATAAGGATTTCAAGATCTTTGAAGTAATTTTAAGATATAGAATAAGATTTCCACTAGATGTAATTTCATTTGTCATAATTTATCCAATGTGATTAAGTTAGTATTATAATAAATGGTTTTTTTATGATCTATTTGTTTTAACCTTATATGAAAAATCCATGATCATAGGATAAAAAAAATGATACAATGAAAAGAACAGCTTATAAAGTACACATAATTTAAGGATATCTTCTAAATTGAATTTATCTGATTTTAATTCAGCCACAGCATCAGTAACTGAAATTTGTTTTCTATGACACAGAATAATAAACAATCAGAAGGGCCACTCTCAGCTGCCGCCTTTGAAGTTTTTCAGCACGCGCGCCATGTTTTAGGAGGACACAAACATATGATTTGTGAGGTTATGCAATTGTTTACATTTATGTTTAATTATATTTAAAACTGTTAATATAATTGTATAGTATGTCTATGATTGCCGTAAGTCAAATAAACCTGGTTTTTTTTTCCATGCACACCACATAAACAACACTGGTTCCCTTTAAAATCCTCGTAAAACATGGTGGAACGTCTGCGCGAAGGAGATGCGCGTACTTAATTTTCCGTGGAGAGTGGGCATTCTGTTTGTTTATTATTCTGTGCCTATGATGGGATCAGCTGTTAATTAATTTATGGCTGTTTATACCAACAAATAAAGACCAAAATTGCTAGTAAAAAAAGAAGAAAATGTATGGTTACAGTCTCATCTGAGTTATGTCATAGAAGAATCATTTCAAAATAATGGTAAAAATGTCTCAAGTAAAATTATTGGGCCAGCTTTCAGAAAGAATTCTTAGGCAAAGCATTGCTAGACCAGCTGTTAGGTGTATGTCAGATTGGGTACCTAAGGAAAAAGAAACACACACTGGACAGGTTGGTTAACAAATATTATTTCAGTTTTATTAATTTTCATGCTTAACACAGTATTAAACATTATAATATTGCCTTATCCATAATTGGAGTGGACATAATAATAAAATTAGTATATGCATTGTATAAACAGGAGTATATAAATAAAATCATCCACCTCTCTTTCAGAAATGGGATTCTGATGACTACAGATTATCTAGATTTGTAGACAGACCAAAACATGTCAATCCAAACTTCGCAATTAATCTTATTGATGAAGTTCCCCCAAAGCCATGTAAAGATCGCGTAGTATGGTGTGATGGAGGTAGTGGCCCTACAGGTCATCCAAAAGTATATATCAACTTGGTATGTTAACAAATCAATATATTATTGATGTTTTGAAATGTGTAATAAATATTTTTTAGGATAAACCCGGCAATCATGCCTGTGGATATTGCGGATTGAGGTTTTATAGGGAAGAACACCATCATTAAATGCATCTAAAGTTTTTTTTATTTAGAACTAAATTAATAGGTATATAAAAAATGTATTTCAGAAAACAAATAAAAGTATGTGAATCTGTTTAAATTATTGTTCTTTTTTATTCTAGTAGATTTTTGGCTTTGAAAATAGTTTTGTAAATCAGTTAGAGTTAATAGAAAAATGGACTTAAATGAAAGCAAATCTCAACTTCTCTTCATTAAATTATTTCATGTTAAATAAAGCAATTAAGTTTTATAGAACCACCATGTGTAGGGTACAAAAACTAATAAACATACGTGCAAACATGAAAAAGAGTTATTGCAGAATATAGACACATTTAATTTAACAAAAAAAGACTGAAAATTTGACTTCCTTCTATATATTTTACATGGTATTAAATCTAATGTAGAAGATACAAGACTTTTGTCTTTTATGCTATGGTCATATCTCCAACATAGTACATAAGAGTTTTTAAGTCCCAAGTCAAGGCTCATAATAGGATTCTTTTGATCAACAAAGTAGAAGTACTGAAAAGGTGGCAGGGATACTATAATATAGTTCTTAATGGAGAAGGTAGAGATGCTATAGAATTAGTAGAGCGTGAGGAAACTGAGCTACCAACTTTTGAAGAAATTAATAAAGCAATTCAGTCTCTAGCCAGAAATAAGTCACCCATAGCTGACAACCTACTTGCACATATATTTAAATGTGGTGGTCAAATGTCTATAACCCTGTTTCATAAACTAACGCGCTTTACCAAAAGATTGGAATACTGAAATTATATGCCTTATACACAAAAAAGGAAACGTGCTTTACTGTTCCAACTTGCAAGGAGGCATTTCCTTGCTTAATACGGCGCGGCATACAGAATTTTGTCTTCTATCCTTAATACCGGCAACCAACTTAACACTCATTTTGTAATGTTGGTACAAAGTTATTGCTTCTACCAATGACGTATAATATAGCTTCTACACATCTACACAAGGAAAAAGACGAGAGGCTAATTACCACCTTAGATTCCATCTTCTCATTGGACGACTGGATGACATTTTTGACATCAGTTAGTGAGGTTAGATAATCAGTATGTTCCATCTTTTCATTCGACGATTTTGTCACGTGACCTATTGAAGTTTTGTTTAAATTGTTTACCAGATTGTTTAGGAAAAAAATATATCAAAAATGATATTTCATTGAGTTATAGAAATAGCAGGTTGCCTGTTCCTGTTAGATTACATCAATCGGGCTGAAGTGTTGAATAAATATTATACTGATGAGATGTGTATTGCTGGTTCATGATGTGGGTCATGGGTTGAATGACTTGAGTTTTAAGCTCGTAAGATTGTTAATTTTAGAGGATATAAGACAAGTTTTTCCACGTTGTTTAATAAGCAATCGCTCCGATCAAGCTGCATTGTCTCTATTTTTAACATATTTAAAGAGAAATGTCTTATAAAGAGAGAAGCTGTGTTACTTATTTTTTTTTGTTAATGCATTTGATTGCCCAATACAAGCTACATCAACAGCTACCTCAATTGGTAAGAGATTGTTTTATTAGAAGGCTGAGTTACTTTATATGTTTTCCACTAACATCTATAATGAATCTTCAAAGTAGAGGACAAGTTTAATTGGAGAGTACCAACCAAAGTATGTACTACCAAAAATTATTTGTAGAAGGATAAAGACAAACTGTTTATTTTGATCCAGTTGAACTGTACCAGTTCTGTTAATATTGAAGTAGAGAAAATTGCAGAAACAGGTACAAATATTTTATTTTAATGCACTATTTTAAAATTTCTTTGACTTTGTCCAACAACTTTTGATAATGTTAACAAAAAATCTTATCTTACAGGAACAAGTTGACAAACTAGCTAAAACTAAAAAGGTTTGTTTTCTGAAACATAAACGAGGCATGAGAAGTTTGGGACAGGAGCTAATTTACAATCATAGAAGAAATATAAAGTAGTTGTGAAAGCAAATAAAGGCAGAGTGAAATGGAAATATTTTAAAATATTACAATCTCCATTCACCCCTGTGTCTGCCAACTCTTCTACATGTCTATTTCCAATAGATTTTAAATTATCCTCTAGGTTGTCTCAATACACAAGGGTCTTCATATTATGTCCCCAAAAATAAAAATCTATGGGATTAAAGACATTCATTTGAAATAAGCAATACAATAAGATTATGTATTTTAGGTTAAACCTTATATATTATAAAATGATAAAATAAATAAATTATGAAATTATGTTTATATTATATTTATTTATTACATATTAACATTATATAGATATCTTATATTATCAAAAATCTTAAAAACAAACCCAGCAGTTAATTCTATAATTCTAAAATCCACTATAAAGATAGAAAATAACAAACTTTTATTATCTATGTTTTTGCAACAATTTTCTTTATGTAGTCATGATCCTCTTCTGGATCATTAGAAATATATAATTCCTTAGAATCATTTTTTAGAGTCTGTCTGATATTTACTACCTCAGAGGTAACAGGTTTTCTAAAAGGGTTTACATTCGTTTTTCTTTTTTTTTGTGTTGAGAAAAATCTACTTTGCTTTATAATTTTTTTATTGGCAGGTTCTCTAGAATTAATGGTATCATGGGTAAATGTTTTAGAAGCAGTAGATGGTAACTCTAGTAACTTCTTAATAGTATCCAAGTGACTTTGAATTTGTAATATTACTTCGTCATCTAGATTTTTATGGTCTACATTTTGTAGTTTATATATTGTATTTATAATATTTGCAGAAAAATTTTGTCTTAAAATGTCAGATTTATTTAAATACTTGCTACTTGAAAATTTACAATTATTGAAGTGATGCTGAGGCTTTTCCTCCTGCCTTTCAAATTTATTTAAATCATAATTTAATGATATGTAATGAATATGCTTACATATGGTGTTACCAATACAAAAGTCATTACATGTGCATGAAAATGTGTGACAACATAAGTCACATTCTTTGCATTTTAAAACACAACAACTTTGCTCAAATAACTTTTTTATACAATAAATATCATCTATATACCAAATATTGGGATTTTCTAAATCAACACTTACTGAAAAATTACTTGTAACAGCAATTTTATGTCAAAATAATTTGTTTAATATGAATTGAGTTTTTCCCTTTTATTTGCTTTATATGTCTTTCAATGCACTTATCCCTAACAAATTTCATTAAACAATGTAGACTCTTATCTAACCTTTTAACCTTTTTGCCATCTAAATAAAAATATTTTATTACTTTATGCATAGATTCTATGCGCATATTTGTATTAATGCCACAACCCTCCCTAAAGCAATAAGCCCACTTTTTATAAATTAAACTATAATTATTTTTAAAGTAAATACCAAATTCTTGAGTATCACTATCTGAAAGCAACTGGGAAACTGTATTATTAAGAACATTATGAAACTCATTTATATTCGTATTTTGTTGAACAACCTTAATTACCTTATATACCTCAGATCTTTTAATCTTATCCCTTATTCTTGATAGATTTTGCTGCCAAGCTCTATCAACATGCCATGAACAAAATAATTGGTAAATTGCTGGTCCCATGACAGTACACCATGCATTATAAAAAGTTGAAACAATGTCACTCATAAAAGTTTTTGAATGCAAAACTCCAACATTTAACTTTACTAAATTGAAAAAAATTTCATAAATATATGTGTCTTTTCTGTTGCTAAACAAAAAAGCCACTGGTATACCTTCACCAAACTCATCCACAACCATTAGAGTAGTTAACTCAAAGTCGTAATTGTTTAACCCATGAGTCCCGTCTATAGCAATTATATTACATCCAAATTTTTTTAACATATTTTTCTGAAACACAGTCATTATAACAATACAAAAATCCACATTATTCAGCTTATAGACAGTATCTGTCTCCCCCTGTGCCTTGTAAAATAATATAGGATTATTTTCATCCTCCTCACACATTTTTACCCATAGGTCCACAGAAAGTGCATCATTTTCATGTTTAACCCCTTCTGAAATGTTAACATGATATGAACTTTGAATGTTTCGTATATCCTTTTTCATTATTAAATCTTCACGATTTATATCCTCTTCAATGTTTTTTTCTATATGAATCTAAGATCCTAAAATAATAAATACATAAAATTTTTGACTGTAAAATCTTAAAAAAACTTAGTTATAAAATGAGTAAAAATAAAATTTACCTTGAGGGTGGAACTCCCAGTGTTAATTTTGACGCTACTAATGATCTGTCCACCTTTGGAAGTCTTAAGTGCTGTAATTCAAAGTCATGGCCATAATGGCTTTTCACCCAAGTTGTTACAATTTCTTCTGCTTTAACAACTTTAATCATGCTAATGCAATATCTTCCCAATTTACATGTCCCTTGACTTTTTGGTAGTCTTATACCAGAGCTTTTTGTTCTTAGTTTTCCTAATAAAACAGAATGCCTAATTAAAAGCAAAGAATGATTTGAATATGAGTAAGTACCTACCAGATCTATTGCAAGAATAGATAATTACTGGTTTACCCTTGAATTTATATTTTCTTGAAATTATATAATTTGATTTGGTTGTCTTTTCAATTAAACCTTTCCAAGCAAAAAATTCTAAAATAAAAATATTAATTAAAATGTAATAAAAAAAAGAGCATGGCACTTAGTGAGTGCCGACAGAAGTAAATACTTCTTATAGCGTGTTATTTTATAAAATTGTATGTTTGCCTATTTTGCTTCTGCTTTTATAATAAACACTAAACATTTAAAATCTTTTATATAAGTGTATGTATATTGCATACAGTATACTGTAATATACTACACATGTCACACTAAATAGAATTTCGAGATCTTCCAAAACATCATACCAAGCACTAAGAAGTATTCACTTCAATAATAACTAATGGAATGGAGCCTACAATATGTTATAATATTGTGTTTTTTGTAAAATTGTTAAATTTTAAACTTATACTTACCAGCAATATTTAAAAATTTCTTTGTCTCAATTTCAAGTGGAAATTTGTGGTAATCTGATAAATGACTTCTTAGACCAATATTATGTTTAAATGAACTATTGCATAGTTTTTCCAAGCATTTATAATTCCACTTTGATTTGTCACATCCAGCGATTTTGGGTTCCTGATGATGAACTTTTCTGATGTGCTTGTTTAAGTTGAATATTGTTGAGTAAGGTTTCTTACAAATAAAACACATTACTGACATTTTTCAATACAATTTAATACACACAAAATAAAACAAAATAAAGTATTAAATCAATATTTTTAACACGAGGTTCACAACACACAGCAACAACAATAAACAAAACACAAAAATGCTGAATACCCATGATATAAGATACATATTGCAATGTATTGGAATTTAAAAATAAATTTGTTTTTGTTTTGTTTCGATTTTTAAAAAATTATTTTAGCAAGAGTCTGTTCAGATCATTTTAAATCTGAATTAATTGGATTAATGTATAATATTAATTTTATTTTATTTAACTACGATATTTTTTATCAATTTTGTACATATTTGAATTGCCGCCTTCAAAATGGCGGATTTTGGTCGTAAACGCGATTGGCTGTTCAAAATACATGCTGTCATCCAGTCGTCCAATCAGAAGATGGAATTCAAGGTGGTAATTAGCCTCTCGTAGGAAAAAGGGGACTAGTTGTATGGGATTTAATTTGACAGATATATTGCTAACAAGGTAAACCAGTGATATGTACGAGAGAGGTAAACGCACGTTTTTATTTGTGCACCCTTCCGTTTGGGAGCACTACGTGCGTATGGAGGTCCATGCTCCTGCGCCTTGTTCCTTGTCACTTTATGTCATTAACACAGCACACTCACATGTAACAGTGCCAGTCCCGTGTTAAAAAGTAAAACACCGATTGGCGTATCACTAGTGCCGGGGTGCTTAACTATAGATACACATGTGTATTTGCTGGATATCATAATTAATGCTGGATTAATAATTCAAAAAGCATAAAATTACCTAGGATTGTAAACTCATTTTAAAGTAAGAGAAAATCAATATATTCCTAAAATAAAAAACCCTTATTCTATATGATAATTAGGTCAATATTTTTGTATACTATTTGGGTTTTCTTGTTATGTTGAGGTTATATTTTTGTTTTCCATTACATAAAAATGCCAAAGTGGTTAAAGAAATTAAAGAATAAAATATAAAATAAAATCTTTATTTATAAACATGTTACAAGAAATGTTATATATGTATGTGTAAAGGCCACAAGTAATATTTAATAATACAAGCAAAGTTAGTGCTCTTTAATGTTGTTACAAGAACTTGTCAGTCAGTATATAAATAATTGTTTTGTTATTCAGCGCATACATGAAAATTCTTAATTGTTATAAATAGTTTCTGTCTTTTTTTAATTTTATGATTTTAACAGCATTCATCCGTTTATCAAATATATCCATATAATTTCGTGGGCTTACTAAACGGTAACATTTTTATAAGTAAAGGTTTTATTCTATAATTTTATTAGATAAATGAATAACGCACCAGCTGAACATGAACATAACCAAACATAACCGGTGTTCGGTTGTGGTTGTTCGGTGACATAACCATACGTCACAGTGTTGCCAAATTTTTGTTGTATAATGTATAGGAATGTTTTAAGATTTAAGATGTTTAGAGATACTTTTACGAAATTATACATTGTGTTATGAGAAGCTACCAGTTTTGAATAAATATAAAACAGCATTTATAAATATTTTTATTTTACTCTAAATGCAGCTAAACATTGTAAGTTATTTGTGGCAATTCAGCTTTGATAAATTATTATTAGTTTTAAAATAAATTTAAGTTTAGTTTAATGTAGTGTACTCTTTAGTTTATCTTCATTTTTATTTTTAATATTAATTTCATCCCTGTAGACATCGTTCCGTCTTACACTAGTACCATGCATTTTATTAAATATATGTATTTTTTAAATGAATCTCCATGTAATGTGAAAGCATGAAATAATTGACTATACGGCAACACTGACATGATTTGAGCTTACATTTAACGTCAAATATATGTTTGGTTCTGTTTAGTGGATTAAACTTAAACTAATCATTGCCCGTTTTATTCTTTAATTTATGTAACCACTTTGGCATTTTACTGTAATGGAAAATAAAAGTATAACCTCAACATATTAAGAAAATCCAAATAGTATACGAAAAATGATTTATATAGTTACGCACCCTGGCACTAGGCGATACACTAAACGTCGTTTTACCAAACACAGGACTGGCACTGCTGTGTGGGAGTGTGCTGTGAATAATTTTGAGGTTAACAATTTGAAGTTTGTTGACATGTTGACTAATTTTTTGTTGACAAGCTCTAATAATATGCAGTAGGGTGTGCCATTATTAGTCAGGTTAATGATTAATTAATTAAAGTTTCAAAAACATACAAAATTCACCTCATTTTAGGTCTTGGCAACACATTAAGTAAAAATATTACAAAAATGGTACTAGTAAATTCCTGTTGGTCTCCATGCATTTGGACTGATAATCTGAGATCAGGTTGCAATGCAATTGCATATTACACTGGAGCAATGAGCATTGTTTTAACGACTTTTGTTATATTTAACATGGCAGGTGGAGATTCCACGCAGCTATATAATCCCTTATTTGAAGCTGATGTGAGATTGTGTAAGTATTCACACTAATTTGATGTTTGTTTCATTTGTGCAGTGTATGTCTTATGTGTTAAGCTTTGTGTTTTTGTAGCTATGCAAGTTGTGGGAGCTTTCATCATACTCTATTTTGTATTGTTGGTCGCATCAGCTGTTTCACTGGTGTATGGTATAAGAGAAATGGTAAGAGGGTTTATGGTTCCATGGATGATTAGTTTTGGATTTGCTATTTTGTTTCAACTTGTGTTTGGCATGTGGCTGATTGGAGGATATTATATTTATGTAAGTTGTACTGTTAAGTCTGCATAAAATGTTAAGAGCAATGTGAACGGCAAATATGAATTTTAAATATAAAAATATCTTCTTAAATCTATTAAAGATCTATGATGAAGATACTAGGAACTAGAGTTGAAGATTTTGATCTGTTATTTCTTTAATATTTTCCTCTTTTTTAGCTTGAAACAGTACTCTATGCCTTGGTTATATGGTCTTGGATGGGCTATAATGTAAGTTAACTTTATATTTTATTGTAAAATACTCAAAAAAATAAAACATATTTATGACCACTTCTTTGCGCAGGATATTAAAACAAATGCTGGATGAAGTTAATACATTATTTCTTTCCAGGTTTATTGTTGGATTGTAGTTTACTCCCAGTACAAGGTGATAAAGAAGTTGCAGTCTCCCAATATTGAACTGTTGTGGCCTTAAGGCATTATTTTATTTTGTAACAATCCGTCCACATATAGACTAAGATTTTGTATTTTAAATCATTTTTATACTATCTATACACTATAGGTTTAGATATTTTGCCTTCTTTTGTTTTTATATGGAAGTTTTTAAATATATTTTTATTTAAAAAAGCGTTTTATTTATTTTCTCATGTAGTAAATTTGGTGTTATTTGAAGCTAATTCTGTACACCATAGAATAGTATATATTCACAGACAAAACTATCAAATATTTTTCCTGAGGTGTATGGTTTAGGACTTATTTTTAGTTTAGGAAGGATATGTTATAATAATTATTTTAAACAAAGGCTCAAATTTTATTTATTATGAATAAAATTACAAACAAACAATCTAATCATGTTCTATAATAAAATAACAACACCATTCATAATTTTTATGGTCATACCAAAACACACTTCCAACACGAATCATTTTTCTTCCAGTATATGTTCTTTAACTTATCTCCTGTCTGTTTTTCCTACTCCTCTCTTTCCTGAGAACAAATGTTTGGGCATTTTGTTACCAATGAACCTGTCTGCTTCACCCTTCAATCCCATCTTCTTGACCTTCTTAGCTATAGCTCTGTGGGCAATCTTGGCCAGTTTCTTCTTCATGGCAACATCTTTCACACCCATTTCATTCCTTGGAGGTTTCGACAAAGATCTGAAACATTATTAAAGCTTAAATTATGATAAACTGTATATAATAGATGAGGAGGACTTAGATGATTATAAAATCTGTTTATTTAAAATTGATAAACTTTTAAGTACACCAAGAAAAAATATCTATAAAGAATTTTCAAATAGCAAGTTCCTGTAGGATAACTATAAATCAGTTCAAAAAAATTTACTGAATGCAGTGGCTAGAGCAAAGCAGGACAAATACAAGTATTTTTTATCTGAATAGTGAACGCTGACAGCATCCTAAAGTGTCTATAAAAAATGAATGAACATTAAGCAGGAAGATTGTTTGGAGCAATAAATACTTAACATTAATCTTATTTATCTTGTAATACCTAATATGCAAACATAAAAACATACCTTGATCTGTTGAGAGAGGTACTATCGCTTACTTCCATCCTCATCTTCTTGGCTGGTGGACCCATGGATCTGCTTCTTTGCTTAGTATTCATGTAATGAGCATCTTCATTGTCAGAAAGGTCAACACCCAATTCAGCCATGTTTTCACGAAGTCTTGAAGCTGATCTTCCTCTAACCTATATTAAAACACAATTGTAAATTACAATTAAAGAAGCCAACCTAAGAAAATTACTTTACCTTAGCTCCAGCTGTTCTTGGCATAACAGGTTTCCTACTTTGCTTGTTAACCCTCGCCTCATCCTTAATAATAGCCTTCTTGTGTCTAATTTGGAGAGCCAATTTCTTAATCTCTTTCATGGTGTCATCGAGTTCAATCTTAGGTACCACATACATACCAGTTTCTTCCCTGAATTCCTCATCTTTTTCCAATTCTGCCAATTTTTCGAAAATGTCGGGATCAATGTAATCAGCAATGTTATGACCTTCCCAAAATTCTGAAAAAATGTCTCTGTAATATTAAATGTTATAATAAGAAAGCGAAAAAAAGGTGGTACCTGGTATGATATCATGTCTTTCTTCTTCTGGTATATCAACATAATGTTTCTTAAGATCTAGAACATAGTCATCTCCCTCTTCAATTTCAATATCTCTTTCAAGTTTTCGTTTACGTTTTTCTCCTAATAATTGTTTCTTAGCTAAAACGCTTTCGGGGATACAAGGAGGACGGGCCTTATCATCTCTGGGCTTAGGTGTGGCTACATGTAAACGATTTAGTACACCATCAACCTTGAAATAGTAAACACATTTATAGGTCTTTTCTCTCACATTAATAACAAAATATATGAATAATGCTGATAAGAATCCTTAAATGTTTAAGCAAGCAATATTTTTTATAAAGACATAAATATCTTTTGTCACTTATGGCATGTTGGAGAGGTACTTACCTTTTTGGATCTCATCTTCTGATCAACTCTGAAACTCAACAATTTCTCACAAGCTTCAGTCTTAACTTCCATCACACCAGTGTCATCAACTGTCGACATTTCTATAACAGTCAATTGTTTATCTTCTTCAATCTCTTTAAGAACTTTCCTTTTTTCCTTTGGCAATTCATCTAATTTGATAATGTCACATTTATTTGCAACAAGCAAAAGAGGTTTGTTAGCGAATAATGGTTTGATTGATTCAAAAAGTTTTACCTAAAAAAACAGTGATTTTTATACTGTATATTCAGAATTGTTTTTATTATTTTGTTTCAATTTACTTACTTGTTCATCTAAGTTATGTCCACACTGTTCAGACAGATCCAAAAAGTATAAAACACAAGCCCTAAGATGTGCCAGGGCTGTAACAGCCTGCATTTCGATAACATTTCTTTCTTCGAGAGAATGATCTAATATACCGGGTGTGTCGATGACTTGCCAACGCAAATATTTGTAATCTGTGTGTCCCACATATAACGATTTTGTTGTGAAGGCGTATGGTTGAACTTCAACATCGGCTCTTGTGATTTTGTTGATAAAGGAGGACTTGCCGACATTTGGGAAACCTAAATTACGAAAATAAAAGATGTTTAAACAGCTATTAAACTAGGGTCAATTCAAAATCTAAATTCCCAAATAAAAATTGGATGGCAAACTATATAGCTCAGCTACAAGTTAAAGAATTACTTAACATCAGAAAACTTTTCGTATTTTTAAATATTTTTTAGTAATGCATCATTGGGATCTAAATAGATGACTATAAAAACGCAGCATTAACCAAGTTATTCAGGACATACGGCTTAAAAGTGGGGTATTTGATGCCGATTTTTGTATGAAAGAATTGTTCCTGAATTTTCCTTTTTCTAGGTGCATATTCAAATTATTGTTATCTGGAGATCCGAAATATGGTTTGAAAATTTCTACAAAAATCCTAAGGTCCAACTCACTACAATCAATCTCAGTAGTCGAATCAAGTGTTCAAAATATTTCCCAAAAATCTTGTTTGAACACTGCACATTACTTATGTATTACCGACACATGGAAACCCATTGTGAATACAGGATAAAAACAGAAAAGTACTTACCGCAAATAATAATAGTTCTTGTATAAGGATCAATGGATGGCAATCTAGCCAAATGTTGTCTGACTTGTTCTAAATAAGACAAATTAGCTGCTTGCCTTTTCATGATGGTAGCCATACGTCCCAAAGCAGCTCTTTTAAGCTGTTTGCACCTGTAAAGTGAGTCTCCATACTTCAAAAGTCTGCAATAATCTTTGGCTACATTATCAATTAAATGCCTCGCTGTATTTAATTGACCCAGAGCTAATTTGTAGTGGTCTTTGTCGTACAGAACGTTCATCAAATCGGCGTAGAAGGGATGGACGTCGTCCAGTTTGGGGAATTCAGTCAAAATTTGTGTTAACCTATCATGAAAACTTTGTTGGGAAAATTTAACTTTTCTCATATAAAAAGCCCTTATTCTTGTGATTTTATATTGTTTGTGGACTACCGTAGGTGTTTTCCTTTGTGTTTTTGACAATATAATATCTATAAAGTCCTAAAACAAAACAGAGATAAGGATTTCAAAACATTGAACAATATTTCATAAATTACCTTTGCTGTAGGAACTACAGCTATTTTTTTGAAATTGTACATATTAGACATTTTGAAAATTTGTTGTTAACTTTACTGCCTAAAAATATAAAAAATATTTAACTGCGAATATGTTTTTTGACAAATTCCCACGTGCTACAGTTGTAGCTGGGGACTTGAAAGGAAGGTTGACAGTGACAGTTGGAAGTTGTTCAAATGTGAAATACGAGTTGCATGTACAGTTTAGTTATTCAGTTATCAACAAGTTAGAATAAAAGAGGGAATAAAATTATTAGATTTCTAATCAAAGCTCATAATATTATTTATTCATAATCAAAATAAAGAAAATCACCTCAAAGTTCCTTGATAAATGTTTATATTTGTGAATTTATCCTTTTAGGATAAATTCACAAATATGTGAAAGATAGTTTAATTCCATTAAAATGGCCACAGGTAGAATTTCGTTTTTTGTTCGTTGTTTTGTGGTATTAGGCTCTCTTGGTAGATTAATCTGTATATTTAATTAATTAGTGCAATTATGGAGTATCTCTGAGTATAGATTAAATTTAATAAATGTTATATTCTTGTGAAAATAATATTTCCTTTAGAATACAATTTAGGTTTTTAGCAATTGAAAACAGAGATTGAAAAAGAGAGTTGAAAATTACCATTTATAAAAATCGTCGCTAAGTTCGCACATGTGATATGAAAGTAATATCACAAATAAAAAACGAAGAATTTAAGTATGACATTGACAATTTGACAGCTAGGAGTTCCTCTTGAATCTCGTGTTGTTTCATTCGAACTTTTTTATAAAAAAATAAAATGTTTGGTGGAGGACGTGCCCCTATTTTGGTGTTAAGTACGAATTTTAAAATTTTATTAACTAAATAACGTCAATAATTTTTTTTTTTTTGTGTTTTAGGTCAAAATACCAAACGAGAATCCGGCCGAAAAGTTCAGCTGGAAAACATCAATGCCGGAAAGGTAAAAAAGCACGTGTGATTTTAGAATATTCTGAAAATATCAAACAGAAAGTGATTAAAAGTGTTAAATAAAACTAATGTATTGTTTTGTAGCAAATCGCGGATGTGATAAGGACATGCCTTGGTCCTCAAGCTATGTTAAAAATGCTTATGGATCCAATGGGAGGTATTGTGATGACTAATGATGGCAATGCTATTTTACGTGAAATTACAGTACAACATCCAGCTGCTAAGAGTATGATTGAAATTGCAAGAACACAAGATGAAGAAGTAAGTAAAACATTCAATTTTCGGTAGGAACATCGCAATTGATGATCCAATATAATGTTGGATCTTGAATTCACAAAAACTGGTCATTTATTACACATTATTTTAGGTTGGAGATGGTACTACCTCAGTAATTGTCTTAGCAGGAGAAATGTTAGTGGCAGCTGAACAGTTTTTGGAACAACATATTCACCCAACAATCATAATTCGTCAGTACAGACAAGCACTTGAAGATATGATCCAGTTATTGGAAGGTCCATTGAGTATTCCAGTCGATAGAAATGATAAAAATGCTCTTGCACAAGTTGTAAGTTGTCTTAAAACTGAATGTTGTCTTTAGGATAGTAGTTTATCAATTATTGTTATAGGTTAAAGGCTGCATTGGTACAAAATTCATAAGTAAATGGTCAGATTTGGCAGTAAATATTGCTTTAGATGCAGTAAACACAGTATTATTAGAAGAAAATGGCAGAACTGAAGTTGATATTAAGAGGTATGCCAAAGTTGAGAAGATTCCTGGGGGATCTATTGAAGAGTCTAAAATTTTAAAAGGTGTTATGCTTAATAAAGATGTAACACATCCCAAAATGAAAAGATATATACAGGTAATTACATTCTAATACCTTATCATCGTGTAGGTTCCCAATTTTATTTATATCTTGTTTTAATCTGTAAACATGGGTATATAACTAAAGAATAAACTGTCTACAATAGAATCTAATATAAAAATAAGTTATATAAATTTTTGTGTTAGTCAATTCTTATTGTGAAATTTCTATATAAAGTTTTGGACAATCATAAAAATCAAATTTTACAAATCTTGTCTATCTATTATTTATTTTATATGTTCTTAATTTTTGCTGTTTTGCATACTATGTAAATGTTATAGTTACTTTTTGAGATTTTTGATTATAGTACTATATTCAAAATAGAATTGAAATGTGAATAATGTAAATTTCAATTTATCTTTATTTGTAATGTATAAACAAATTTAACTACACATCCCTAATGGAATATTACAGAGGCTGTTAAGGAGCACCAAGAAAGCATTAGAAGGTTAAAAGTGATGAAGAAGATTTAAAAACATATATTAAGCCTCACTTAAAGCCTGATAAATTGTTAAAAACATGAAAAAGTGATTTTAAAACTTTATAGGCTTCATTGAATCATTAAAAATATTGAAATATACAACAAATTAACTTTATTTCAGATATGAGAGGCTTTAAACCATCAAGAATGTGCTAAAAAATGTAAACACATTAAAGAGGCATAAAAAATGTGAAATACTAGTGAAAAACTGGTGAAAAAGACATTGATTAGGTATAAGAAGCGACATAAAACTTTAAAAGCAATGAAAAAACATTAACAATATGTCAAAACTATCCAATAATAAAAAAGCATTAACAATGTTGGACATTACCATTGAATAAACTAAAAAGCAGTGAAAAAGTGTCACAAAATGCCAAAAATATCAAATAAGTGATAAAAAGGTTTGATAAAACATTTAAGTTTTCTTATGAATGACTTTTGGGTACACCAAAAGAGGTAAAAAACAGATGAGCATGATGAGCAATGATCAAAAACCCTTAATAAATAATAAAAGCATTATATATTGTGGAATCCATTATAAAATATCAAAATATCAAAAAATTGTTAAAAACAAGCTTTTATAAAAATTTCAAGTCATAAAACGAGCTTTAAAAATTTTTAGAAAGATTGAAGCTTAACAAATTGATGAAAACCGTCCAACAAACTTTAATAAAACAGAAGCATAGAAGAATAAAACAAAAGCGTTAAAACTGCCGAAAAACTGTTTAAAAAATATGTTAAAATCATTGAATGGGTTTAGGTGAATGAAAAGTGGTAAAAACCATTGTCAAATAAGCGTAAAAAATGCTAAAAGTGACGGGAGATTGTTAAAAAATCATTAGTAGTGCCGAAAAAGCATTTGTGATACTTTTAACACATTTTAAATGTTATTTTCTTTGTTTACCACTAGATTGGAGTATACATATCATAAGTGGAAATTGAAACGTCAAAAATAGACTTAATTTAAACTTATATTGTGGTTTTAATGTTTGGTTATTAGATATTTTTCATATTTTTTAACGCCTTTTCTCAACCTGATCAATACTCAGAGACTGGTATAGAAGTTCTTACCAGATCAATACTTTGGATCGAACTTAGTTCTCGTCCCTCTTCACAGCATTTTATACTTTTGCATTACACAGCATTTTATATACCAATGTTCCATCTCCAGCGCCAGAAAAATAGCTGTTAGTAAATGATCACGGCGTTATCGTTACAATGCCTAACCCTAATTAGGTAAAATGTGTGTCATTTGTGAATTAAAAAAAAAAACCTTGAATAAAAGTAATAATTCGCAAAACCAAAAAGTTTTTTTCAAATAACCATTACACATAAAGAATAATTTATATACTTCATTTACTAGACTGTACTGAATAGCATCTTTTTTGTTGTAATCGTTGTACAAGCATTTCTTTCATAGTAGAACTAAATATTTTTTTATTTTAGAATCCGAGAATAATACTTTTGGATTGTGCATTAGAATATAAAAAGGGGGAATCTCAGACAAATGTAGAAATCACGGCAGAAACAGTAAGTACCTTTTAATTTTTTTTTGTATCCAATATTTAATTAACTAAAATTTGGAGAAATGAATTCCTCATATGTAATGTATTTTTAAAGGACTTCACCAAACTATTAGAACTGGAAGAGGAGCACGTTAAGCGTCAATGTGATGACATTATCGCACTCAAACCCGACGTGGTCTTCACAGAAAAAGGAGTATCCGATTTGGCGCAACACTTTTTACTGAAAGCCGGTATTACCGCTATTAGACGTGTACGAAAATCTGATAATAACAGAATTGCCAGAGCCTGCGGAGCCACGATTGTTAACAGAACTGAAGAGTTACAAGAAAGCGATGTTGGTTTAGGAGCTGGACTCTTCGAAATCAAGAAAATTGGGGATGAGTATTTCTGCTTTGTGGTTGAATGCAAAAATCCAAAGGTAAGAAAGATATTTTATATTAAACATGGGTTTATAGATGAACTCTTTTGTCTAGTAAACTGTTTTTTATCTGCTATCAAAATTAAATCATCAGCATAAATTCAAATTTTGTTCGCTGTCACAGATAAAATATTGTTCATTGCTTTCTCGTCACGTTTAGCGGTGTCTTTCCGCTTTTTAGTATACACAACGGCCAATAGAGAGGAACATTAAGTGTTTTATCAATATTTTTTTGATGCTTCTTTCATTTTTTTACAGCGTTTTCAAAGGTTTTTAATGCTTTTTGAATTTTAATGCTTTTTGAACCGAAACTTCTATATACTGTCGTTGTATTACTTTTTTTTCTCTGCAGTAAAATGCTAAGGGAAAATGTACGGAACTAGCGCCACAAAACGGCGTCGTCACGGGTAGCGTCATAGAATAGCAATTCTTGACATTGATTCACTACTCTCGATCAATTCGTTTCTAGTCATCATATATTTACTCTAAGCAGATTCGATTCGTAACGATTGTCAAAACATTTCTTTTGCATTTTTTAACTTTTTTTCGTAGCTTGTTAACTGTTTTTAGTGCATGTATTGGTCTATAAAGTTTTTCATCGGTATGCGAAACTTTTCAAAATCAAACGTAAATCAAATCTTTTATCCATCTTTTTCGATGCTTCCCCCTTTCTTTACTGCATTTTCGATAGTTTTTAATGCTTTTGTATGCATATTCGAAGCATATAACGGTTTAACCAAGTTTTCATCACTTATACGATACTTTTGTCATTTTTTAAAACTCTTTTCGTATCTTTTAACAGTTTTTAGTTATAAACCATACAATGATCCATAAAGAGAAAATTTAATTGTTTTATCAATCTTTTTCGTTGTTTTTACAATTTTTGGCTGTTTTTAGACGGTTTTTAGTGCGTTTTTATGCTTATTCGAAGCGTATAACGGTTAAACGAAGTTTTTCATCGCTTATACGATACGTTTATCATTTTTTAAAACTCATTTGTCGTATTTTTTAACAGTTTTTAGTGTATAAATGGTCAAGAAAGAGAAAAATTAAATGTTTTGCTCATATTTTTCGTTGCTTCTCCCATTTTTGCCGCTTTTTTGACACTTTTTAGTGCGTTTTGTGCTTATTCGAAGCTTATAAGGGTTTAACAAAATTTTTCATCGCTTATACGGCATTTTTTAACTCTTTTTTGTAGGATTTAACTGTTTTTAGTGTATATAGTGATCCATAAAGAGAAACATGAAATATTTTGACAATCTTTTTCCTTGCTTTTCACAATTTTTGCTTCCTCTTCAACGGTTTTTGATGCTTTTTATGCTTATTCAAATCTTATAACGGTTTAACAAAGTTTTTCATCGGTATACGATACTTTGGCGTTTTTTTATCACTTTTTCGTAGTTTTTCACTCTTCACCATCACTTTTAGCAGTGTTTTTCCGCATATTAGTGTAACCAATGGGCAATAAAGAGAAAAATCAAATGTTTTATCATCAACCTTTTTCGATGCTTCCCTCTTTTTTACTGCTTTAATAGTTTTTAATGTTTTTGTATGCATATTCGAAGCTGATAACGGTTTATCACAGTTTTTCATAGCTTATTCGATACTTTTGGCGTTTTTGTGCACTGCTTTACAGAACAATTCAATTTTTTCAAAAAATTTGGCCAAAGAGGAAAAAAATTTAGACTTCTTTGCTCTCTTCCATAAAACTGAAGTTATAATACCCACATATAGTCACAACAACAAATTGAGCAACAATATTCTGAGATCTGTTTTGAACTGTTATAGTGATGCCACAGTTATATACACGGACGCATCCAAATCAATAGAAGGGATTGGCTGTGCCTATTTTCTACCCTCAGGAGGTTCTGAATTTAAGTACAAACTTTCCAAGGAGTTTTCAATTTTCTCGGCGGAATCATTGGCTATACTCGAAGCTTTGAAATATGTTAAAAACTCTTATATTAAAAATCGTTAATTCTTTCAGACTGTCTTTCAGTTCTACAGAACATAAAAAACACATTTTTGCCCAAAACATTTAGTAATCCTTATATTTTTCTAATAAAAGATCAATTAAGCACTTAGTAGACTGTGGCTTTAATATAAAATTTATTTGGGTTAAGGCACATATTGGACTCAAAGATAATGAATATGTAGATTACTTAGCTAAAACCAGTATAATATCAGGCACTTTATTGCCATATTCTTTATGTGTATCAGATGCCATTAGGATATTTAAAAAAACCAGCTAGCGACATGGAAAGATCAATGGAATCTTTACTGCCTTACAAACCAAACAAGATACACCACTTTACGACCAGTTATTCCACAAACTACTTGGTTTAAGAATTTTAAATCTCCACGTAAATATATAACCACCATAAATAGACTACGCTTTGGACATGCGTGTTATCCAAGTCATTTATATAAAATAAATGTGATTGAAGATGATAATTGCAAACATTGCGGAAAACTGGGTGATCTTAATCACATCTTTTTTGAATGCCCTAAGTTTCAACAGCATTCAAACTCTCTCTACAAAAAATTAATCGAATTTAATATGTATGCACCATTCAATATTCAATCGCTACTGGCAACAGGCTCACAAAATATATATAATATCATTATAGATTTCTTGTCAGACACATGCATGGTTCTATAGAATTTGTACTCGAGCATGAAATTTTTCATGATCGTGTGGAAATTTAGATTTGTATCCTTTGTTTACCCTAAATGTTATAACACCTTATCTGTGGTCCAGTTTTGTTTGTCTACTAAGAATGTCTTGATGGGCCCCTAGACGAGAAGCAAGTGACCCTGTAAGTTTCCTTGTCGTATATTATTCTTCTATTAATTATCCGTTAGTTTTCGATTAGGGATAAAGTTGTGCATTTGTCTGATGGGAGAATCTATTGCAACTGGCTGAATGACTAATGTCAATGCCATTAAATTTTTAAATCTTTCTAGTCATGTGTAGCGATGTCTTACTGGCTTTTAATGCATAGAGTCGCCAATCAAAAGAAACAGTAAATGTTTTATGAATAATTTTCAATTGTCACAATTTTTGTCGCCTTTTCGACAGTTTTTAATTAAAGCTTTTTTGTGCTTATTCTGTTTATAAAATATTTTCATCACTTATTCGATACTTTTGTCATTTTTTAACTCTTTTCGTAGCTTTTAACGTTTTTTTGTCAGATTTAGCGATTTCTTACCGTTGTTAATGTATCCAATAGTCAATAAAGAGAAAACTTATCTTTTTCGATGCCTCTCTTATTTTTTACATAATTTTCATTATCTTTTTTACAAACATTTTGATTTACAGGCATGTACAATTTTACTCAGAGGTGCCAGTAAAGACATTCTCAACGAAACTGAAAGGAATCTACAAGACGCTCTACAAGTCGCCAGAAATATTGTCCTATCTCCCCGTTTAGTGCCCGGAGGTGGCGCCATAGAAATGGCCGTAGCTCAACGTTTGATGCAGAAGGCTACGCACGGACCTTATAGAGCTCTTGCACACGCTTTAGGTAAGTTTGACGTAAATACATATATATTAATCAAGAAACTTTTTTTATTTCTTGTCTGTCTGATGTAAATAAAACTATTTAACTTTTGCTTAAACGTTTCGGCAAATTTGCCATTTTCAATAAGCATTTAATTTTATAAAGATTACATTTTGCAATTAAACTTCATGTTTATACTTTTTTAAAAAGTTTAACATGGATTAAAAAATTGGTATCTGACATTAACAGATGGCATCTAGCAGGTATCTTAGAATAGGAGTGTTTTAGGGTTGTATCTTAAATATCTGCCATAGCGCATTTAAAAAACAACTTCATTTATTAAATTATGATACATACTGGAAAGATCTTTGGTGTGAGTCTTATTATTGATAGAATTTGGATCTTTTTTATGTGAATCATCTCCAATATGCATCTTTTTTTGTAATTTTGTTATTTTTCCAAAATCTGTACATTTTCAAAATCAAAAGAATGGCTATTTTCTAGAGAATGTTTGACTAGATCTGTTGTGTTTTTAATGCATTGGTGTGTACACCATGTTTGTGTGCAACAACTCTTCTATGTATTTATTGGTGTGTTCCAATATCCCAAGAAAACCAAATCAGCAACACCCGAGGATAAAAAGAGACTTCGGGAGAATACCATCACCTCCCTCGCAACAGAGTTGCTAAGAAACCAAGAGGCTCTAACGAGCAGACTAGATCATAAAGCACCGTGACAAAAGTATTCATAATGGTGGTAGCAAACAGACACCATCCTGATACTCAACTAAATCGGACTTGAGCAAATTTGATCATTAACAAACTGGAACAAGCACTTGATGAGGCTCTGTCGGAGGTCAAAATGAACTTCTGCAGTTCCATAAAACATCGTTTAGCGAAGGGACCCTGTTGATGAACTGTGTTAATGAGTATACAAAAAAATGGATGACTGAAGTGGTGAAGACTATTGAGGACCTGTGGGAGGGAGCAAACTTAAATATAATTTATCCAAATATTATGCCCAAGCTCCCCATGGTCCTCACCCGCGTCCCCGAGAAAGAGCTTGATGAAGAAACCATTAGGTATGACCTGTCTAAAGAGACAAAATCAAGACCTTAACACAGAAGACTGATTGTTATCTCTGTTACACAGACCTAACGACAGTAAAGATTAAGGTCATAGAGAGACCTTTAAAACGTTTATAATTTTTCATATATTTTTATTTTACTCTTTTTGTTTTTCAATATCTCGCTAACATTTGGACAAATCTATTTTTAATTCAAAGTTATAAAATTTTATTTACATGTAATGAAAAAAATAAATACTTTTAAAATTGAAAATTAAATACCTTTTTAAATTTAAAAATTTAACAATTTATTATATTAAAAATAAAGATTTTATTATGAAAAAAACAAAAAAAAAACAGTTTGCAAATCAATAGCATCGAAATTGTATTAAGGTGGATGCATGAGTTAAATAAATAGTTCTATTCATACTCCTTTCCCACTTCCTCAACTATATCATACATGACGGTTTTAAGCTGACAGCACAGTTTGAGTTTCTGCAGTCGCCCTCTTCAGGAGTGTTTTGAACCGTGAACAAATTACCCATTTGAAATGTCTTCTATATGCGCCTTCTATATTATGTTGGTGAAAAAAGTCTAAATTTTATGAAATTTATTGTTTTAGAAGTTAGACCCGACATTTATGGATTGAAGTTAATTTAGCTTCTTATTTTAATCTTGGTATTTTTCTATTAAATGAACTACCTATTATAATAATAATTGGTGATTTGGTACCTCTAATATACCTCTCAACATCGATTTTTTCTTAATTTAAATTCGTTTAATATGTTTCCATTTTTACAGAAATTATTCCAAAAACTCTTACTCAGAACTGCGGAGCTAACACTATCAGAACGTTAACTGCTTTAAGGGCGAAACACGCCAACCACACAGACGTTAACAAACCATGCCTTTGGGGTATCGATGGCGAAACTGGAGAACTCGTGGAGATGGACAAGAAAGAATTGTGGGAGCCTCTAGCTGTAAGTCAAAAAACATATATTTATTATTATTTAACACTGTTGATTGTAAAAGTTTTATAACTGTCGCCTTCCACCGTCTAAATAACCACTTATATTTTATTTTAGGTCAAACTACAAACATACAAAACCGCCATAGAAACTGCCATTCTCTTACTTCGCATCGACGACATCGTATCTGGCTCCAAAAAGAAGGGGGGCAACGAACCACCGACTCCTAGCCAAATGCAACAGCAAGAAGCTAGAGGAGAAGCTGAATAAACTAATTCTGTAACCATTCACTAAATTAATAACTCTGTCTTTGCAAGATATCTATAAACATAATAATGCTTCGCCATTGCTGGAACTCTTCGATGTCTGCATCGCTTTTACGCAGTATATTGTGTATTAAATATATAAAACATTTGTTTTCCAGTGGGTTAGGCACACATAAAGACGATTTTCAAGGTTTATGCACTAACGTGAAGCAAAAAATGTTAGTTTATGTCCAGTTTAAGTAACTTCTGGGGAAGATTTGAGATCTAAAGTAATATTTTTTCTGTTCATTCTTCGTACAGTTACTTCTTAAATAACTATACGCTTAATTTGACACTAACAAATTCATATAAGTGAAATATTTTGAACTGTGTCTAGTTCATTTTTTGAAAATCCTCTTCGTGGGTCTACGTATTGAGTATCCGGCATTTGGATAGTGTTTTATGTATGTAGGACAGTGATTTTGATCCCAGTGAACTGATAATTTGTTTGTTTAAGCGGATAAAATTATGTCTTGCAAAATGTCTTTTGTTAATTGTTTTTATCGCTTAATTCACATCATTCACGTTTAATAAAATGTCGCTACTTTATATTTGACAACGGTTTGTAATAAAGAATATTTATAACGTAAACTGTCTTTTTTTACGGGGGGTATCCAGAAAGTAATCATACGAGGGTATTACCGAATTTTAGGGCTAGTGTATGAGTGAAAATGCTCTCAAATGAACAGAATCCCACTGTTGATGCTCAAAAACTATAACTTGCCTGGAGCCTGGATACAATTGGAGAACCCTATTGTATGGTCTTAAATTGTTGCTTTAGTAGCTCACACCGTAGCTAAACTAAACCAACTGACATTTTGTGAGCTCTTCGCCAAGATTTAAATGTCTTTGTGCCATTTTATAACCTTCTTTAATTTTTAATAGATGGCAGTATCAGTAACCTTCATTTACGGACATGTCACTCTTTTAAACGAACGAACTGTCGACAGAACTAATATTTTTCGGAATTAGTATATCAGGTAAAACTAACATACTAAAGGAAGTAAAACATTTTATCAGTGACCACTAAATCTTTTATAAAAACTGCGTGTATCTACTATGAAGCATTCTGCATTTGGGTAGTGTTTTTTCTCTTTATAAAACATTGTTTTTGATCCCAAATGAACTGATAATGCAAGTTTTTTACCCGAAAATATAATTATGTGTTCAAAAATGTCTTGTTTTAATTGTTTAATTCACATCATTCACGTTTAATGAATTGCCGCTACTTTTTATTTGACAACGGCTTATAATAAAGCAAATTTAAAACGCAAATTGCTTTTTATTTTTACGAGGGGTGTGCACAAAGTAAGTATAGTATACGAGGGTATTACCAAAGGTAGGTGCCGGCAGGTGTATAAAAAAATATTTTTTTTAGTTTGGTAGTCTTTTTTTAAATTACATGTCTGGCATGCCATTGACACGAGGAACTGTATTACATAATAACAATAAGTTAAGTTACATTGATTTAATAAATTTCAATACAGATGATATGAAAAAAATAAAAACTAGCGGATGATTACAAAATTGAAATATAGATAGATGATACAATTACAACAGGTGATATAATTTACAGTTTTTAAGGAACTCTATCACATTAGACATATTGTTTTTAGAAGTTTTAAGTTTTAAACGCTAAAATAAAGCAAAAACGTTAAATGGTCTTGTTTAGGTAAATTATTTACAAAATTACTTAAAATCGATGAGTATCAAATTTTGTATGATAGAATATAATGAGAATAGTACACACGTATTTTATCCCTATATACTACTATTTCTTAAGTAACTATAGACTGACATTTCAACTCACAAAGTCAGTATTTGTATCTTTATCCATAAAAACAAGTAACGCCATTTCTAGAGGAACTAACTCTTACTGTATTTCATCCATCCTTTACGGTTGTAGCACATCAGGCGACACTAGCAAGTTAATAACAATGAAAAATTGGACACAAAAACATACACAAGGTAACCTGGACCTCTCCTGATGAAAGAACAACGAGTCAGATTGATCACATCTTAATATATTCGAGGTATGGAACAGACGTAATAAACTGCAGAAGTTATAGAGGCGCAAACATAGACTCAGATCGTTGCGTAGTGATCTCAACATTCAGGGCTATAATTTCAAACACCAGTACAGAACATAAAATGGAAAAAAAATGGTATATGCTAAAGCTGAGAGATGCGACAATTGCAGAACGGTACTCGGAAAACATCACTCGGAATAGGCTAAGGAATCAAAATGTAAATGAAGAAGGCCAGACAGATATAGACTCCTACTGGACCAGATTAACGGAGAACTTTGAAGCAGCAGCCAAAGAGGAAAGAGGAACAGAAATTTGTGCTCCTAAAAATCATTGGTTTTACAATGAACACAAGAAAAAAATGAAGCCTACAGAACGATGCTTAGCAGACGAACTACAATAATTGTAGAGAATTATCAGACAAAGAGAAGAGAAGAGGATACACAAAAAAACTAAACCACCCAAATGAGGAACTTAAATATATAGAAAACCTTAACAGAGAGAAATAATTGTTTAGAATATTCTATAAGAAAGTAACATTAACAGAAAAGAATTCCAGGCAATCGCAAGACAATGCAGAAGTCAGAATGGCGACCTAATAACAACAAGGAAAGATGTATTGAATAGATGGGTGGAATACTTTAACCAGGCACTTAATATGGAGGAAGAAGAAGAAAACCTGTAAGACGAAAGAGATGAGGTAAGGGAAACAGACGAAAGGGAAGAGGAAACATCAACGATTCTTGAAGTTAAAGATGCAGTTAAAAAACTAGCCAGAAACAAATCACCCGGAATAGATAATCTCCCAGCTGAACTATATAAAGAAGGTGGCCATGATACCATAATTGCATTACAGCAGCTTATAAAAGAAATATGGACACAGAAATACCTCCCCAATGATTGGAATGCTTTGCACCATACACAAAAAAGGAGATACCTATCTTTGAATGCTCTAACCACGGGAATTACGCCTCTAAATGCAGCGTATAAAATATTTTCCACAATACTATGGCACTATATGCAGAACGGATAGAAAAATACCAGGCTGATTTCAGAGGTGATAAATCGACAATTTTTGATTGCAACCCTGAAACAAATTTTGGAAAAAACACTGGAATATGGCATTGATACTCATCACATATTTATAGACTACAAAGCAGCCTATGACTATGTGAATAGAAGAGAAATGTTCAAAGCAATAAAGAGCTAGGAAGACCAAATCAATTGGTAAATTTAACAAAACTAACTCTTGAAAAAGTTGAATGTAGAGTTCGAATGCAGGGAAATTGTCTGAATCTTTTAAAACAAGTCCTGTCTGTTCAGTCTGGCTCTGGAAAAAGTAATACGTATGTCACAAATCACAACCACTGGTTCAATATATAATAAATCAGTGCAAATCCTGGCCTATGCTGGTGATATCAATATTGTTGGGAGAACGAAAAAGGCTGTACGAGAGGCGTACGCAACCTACAAATCATACAACCACTTGATATAGAAAAGTCATCGAAGCAGTGAACGAATTTGTATACTTGATGCTACATATGCTATTTTGGGCTCAATCTCCTCTTTAAATGCCTAATTATATCGAGAAATACAAAAATAAAACTCTACAAAACAATTATACGCCCATTCCTAAAATATGGTTCAGAGATCTGGAGTACTAAGGCGAATCTATGGAGCAGTGAATGACAATGCAGTGTGGAGAAGACAATACAACTTCGAACTCTATAGAATATACCAGGAACCTGATATCGTAAAACATATTAAGATAGGACATCTAATGCGGATAGAACAACCCAGTTAGAAAAATGCTCCTTGATAGACCCATTGGCCAGAGAAGAATAGGAAGGCACAGAACAAGGTTCCTTGATAACATCGATGAAGACATGAGAAATATGGGAATACGTGCTTGGCGGAGAAAGGCGATGGATAGTGACGACTGGAGAGAAATTCCTGAAGAGTCTAGAACCCACGCAGGATTGTAAAGCCAGAATGATGATGAAAAGTTGTGTCTATATGTATGAAAATCCTCATTGTGTCTATACGTCTTGAGTATTCGGCATTTTGGTAGTGTTTTGTGTTTATAGGACAGTAATTTTTGGATATAGAGTAAAAAAAACAGATAATTTTTGAGTTCCAACAAAACAATGAAGCATCTTAAAGTGTTACCAATTCGTCCACGGGAGAGAGTGGATCCTGCAACTAATGGATTAGCAGAACGATATGTTCTGCTAATCCATTAGTTGCAGGATCTTCAAACTTTAAACAAGTGCCCTAAAATTCCTATCACACACACAAATGAGAATAAATATTCTTCTTTTACCGTTTATCCTCTGGATAATCGAGATCATACTGATTCATTCATTTTATTATCTATTTTTCTAAAGATTTAGCCGCGATCTTGTACGTTGATCTACCCATCCTCTGGTGTTGATTTTGCTCTGCTGTATTAATTTTAGTAGACGATATTATTATCATTTCATTCCTCTGTCAAAATGATGGTTTCCTAGATTTTAGTCCTGCCAATATTTCTGGTTCTTTTCTAATTCAGTCATGGTCGTTTTATGACTGATGCAAGAAGTCCAAGATATCCTAATCCTGCGGTCACAATAGGTATTCTCTCTCTCTCTTGTCGTTTCCCCATTACTGAGGATTTCTTCCAATATTCCTAACAATTTTTCTCCATTGGTCTCTATCTTCAGTTGCTCTGAGAGCTTCGCAGAATGAGTTTCCAGCTGAATTTTTAATTTGGTGGGACCATCTAGTTGGTGATCGTCCTCTTAATCTTCTCCCGAAACGTTTCCAGAAACATCTAATCTCTCAAACTATCGTCACCTCTACGAACCACGTCACCGAAAATTGCAGAATACGTTGCAGACATATTGTGGACAGCCTTTTTTTGATCTTGAGTTGGTTTGGAATGGAAACGTTTGTCCCATGAGCTGTCCAAGGTATGCGTAACGTTCTTCTCGAGCACTACACCTCAAAGTCATCAATTTTTTGCCGCTTGCGTCCATGAAGAGTCCAAGTCTCTGCCCCGTATAGAACTATTAAGAATACAAGAACATTCACCAGTCTCATCTTCATATTTTGAGAGATAGATCTGTCTTTCCAATCTTTAGTTAGGCGATTCATCGCATTTTTTGCCATACCAATACGTCTCAGAACTTCTGATTCACATTCCCATTTCTATTAAAC